CCTTTTTTTTTTTTTTTTTCATTTTTGTGAAAATACTTCCATACTGTTGGAACTTATTATTAATAGGCTGTGATTCTTACCCCCCTCAACACGCACGATTTCTAATGAACACAATTTAGTGAAGTAAGAATAGATGGAAGCGTTGTTAATAAATGCGTCTCTGTCAGTTAACTGTAGAGTTATCAGAGTGTATCAGAGTGTGTCTCACTGTAGAGTTATCAGAGTGTATCAGAGTGTTAACTGCACGTACCCTAACGCGGGTACAGTGACCGAAAAGCAGCTCGCTTCAGTTCTGCTGGAGTAGAAGGGATTACTGCTCTGTATTAAAGCCTGTATTAAATACAGATCCATAACAAACTAGAAGTCTGATTAGAAAAGTGCACTCGCTATTCTAGAAAGGCTCGGTTTACTTAGAAATAGATGAAACCACAATTTAAAAAAAAAATTAGAATGTAGCCTAAACAACGGAAGGGTAAATGCTGCAACACTGACAAGGTTTAAGCATGTGCCACTTTTGTTGGGAGGAGCAGGGTATAGAGGTATACATGTAGGACACACGGAGTAGGTAACAGTAAAAAAGTTTGTGTGGTTTTGCTTTCATTATATTTATTATTTTGTAGAGACGTTTGTGAATGTTAGACTTCTTTTATTGTTTTATTATATTTATGTATAAAACAGGTTGACTCTGCTTTTTTTAAAATAAATAAGCAAAAAAAAGTCTGTATGAATGCCTCTGTCATCTTTTGAAGGAAGTTACCTATAAACAGCTGGTATGGTGTTTTGTTTTCTTAAATAAAACTCTTTAGACCAGACACCTTGAAACAGACTGTAGCTAGGTTATAACTTAAAAAGCAGATTGAAAACTTCAGCAAACTTAAAGAAATGCATCCTGACTATTTAAAAATGAGTCAAGATACTATTTTGCTAGGTGCTAGAAAAAACTGGCTGAGGAAATAGACAAACTCAAAAAGAAGTTGTCTCAGTCATTTTTACATATATATATGTGTGTGTATATATATAGAGAGTTCTGTTTTCACTTTAAAATTTATTTTAAAATGAAACTTCACTCTTCTCCCATCTTCTGTGGTTTGTAGTTGACTGGAACTTTCATTTCTCACTGACGAGCCATTCAGTTACTTGGAAAACAGGATATGCCTTGAACTCCCTCTACGAGCTGCCTCTTTGCAGCAACAATTTGTAAAACTCTGGCACTAGTCACATTAACATCAGTGAATACTATATTAATTTTGAATGGCATTTCTCACAAATTTCATTATGCAGAGGTCAAAGCTCAACAATGCAACCACTGAAATGTTTCTGAAATCCCTTGGTTCTCATTGGGATAAAACACCATTGGTGCGTTTCTGGGTTGGGACACAGAATTTGTACACAAACGTTACTCGCTGTAAGAGCCTGCTATTTCTCTCTTGCCTTTTAAATGGATCTCATGGACTCAAGTACACTCCAGGTGATCACTTGGAAAGATGATGAATGTCCAGCTGTAGTTAAATGCGAGGGTGTGTATTTCTTACAGCGATTACGACTGGATACAAGAAAGAATGGTAAAGCAGATAGCCATGTACAGCACAGCTAACCAGGTATTTTGAAACTAAAGATACAGAAATCAAGATTACTGCTTTTGTAATTAATTTTCTGTATTTAGGGACAAATGTAATGCAAATGGAAAATTGGATTTGATTTTTTCCATAGTCAAGAAGTCTGCATTGAGATTCATAAACAAGTATTCTATATTGGAAAAAAATACTGAATTTTTTAATGTTACATCACATTTAATTGACATGGAGGGGAATGTTAGCCGATGAATTCATGCAAGAAGCGAGTACGTGCTTTTGCTCCAATACACACAACTCGCTACATGTGCCAAATGCAAAATTCTGTGTAGTTAATCTAAGAGTTTTTTCAGTGCTGCTGCTTGTCAATTATTGTCATATGTTTTATGGTTCACCCATCATAACAGATAGTTCATTAATTTTAAGCATAAGGAGATACATGACGTTTCCTGTTAAATCTGTCAATTCTTCTGGAATGAATTTATAGCCCTCTTCTACCCTTCCAGCCAAAGGCCATTCCAAATGCTATATGTGGAATTTGTCTGAAGGGTAAGGAGTCCAACAAGAAAGGAAAAGCTGAAGCTCTTATACATTGCTCCCAGTGTGACAACAGCGGTAAGTATCTGCATACACTAAGCGGATTCCTAAGGGAGTTTGTTTCCCAGATCTTTTTGTGGAAATTCCTAGTGCTGCCTACAGCTGTCTACCAACAGCCCAGTTGCCTTTTCTGTCCTTCGTTAAGACTCCATCTCTGTTTGATGTTTCGGGTACTAGCACGCTCGGTGCGCTCTGGGATCTCACCAGGAGGGGAGCGAAGCTTCAGCTTCTGAGAAAGCAAAACAGTCTTAACTGATTTTACATTTTGTTTCAGATGCAAAAGTAATAATATTGGTTTCAATCTAGGCCACCCTTCTTGCCTTGATATGACCCCGGAGCTTGTTGCTATGATTAAGACTTACCCTTGGCAATGTATGGAGTGTAAAACATGCATTATATGTGGGCAGCCTCACCACGAAGAAGAAATGATGTTCTGTGATGTATGTGACCGTGGTTATCACACTTTTTGTGTGGGGCTTGACGCGATCCCTTCAGGTAATAAAGTAAGAGTTAATTGTTCCCTTCCCACCTCCTCCTCACCTCCTCCGAGTCCTGGGCTTTGTCCGTCAGAATTAATATATGCATTGCTTTTGGAAGAATAGCTTAAAAGAAGTGTGAAGGGTAGGAGTAAGCAACAGTGCAGGAAAGCATTCACGCTGTAGAACCCAATTTTTTTAATAAGCTTTATTTCTGTATATTTGGTTGTGCACAGTTTAACCTGGCAATTCCTGTACAGGAAATATAATTGGCTTTTACAACAGAATCCGAACAGACTCACTCAGAAGTAGGTTGTTGGTAGTTTTTTTTCCTTTCCCATATCCACAGAACACTGAGAATAATTACCTCTTTTCATAAAAGAAATCTGTAAAGAGGCTTTATTGCTGCATATTGCTGGACTATAGCTTTCACATTAATAAAGTGTTTGTGCTATTATTTCAGTTTCTAAAGTAAAAAGTATGCTGAATTTAATATTTGTAAACACCTTTTTAAACCCATTCCTTCCCATTTTTTCTTAAACATCAAAGCTGGAAGTGAAGTACCTAGATGTCAGGCAGCCTGTATCTTTAAATTACCTGGTCACTCCTACTACCTGGCCAACTCAAGGCAGTGTAAAGAAAGCTTCAGACATATAAATAACGTGGTACTGTTGCTTTTCATGTAATACTAAATCCATGGTAAATTAGTTTAGTGGCTGTAAGTTCTGCAGTGACATATTGGCTGTAACTACAGTTCTTCAAATACACTGTACAGTCCCATTTTGGGAAGCACTGGTGCTAGCTGTCACTTCAGTACAGTTCCAGTAGCCAATTTAACTTTCAGGCTGACCTAAGGACATAATCTAAACTAAATAGATTACATGCTTACAAAATACAAAATTACCAAAGCAGTCTTTATGATTCCAGCCGTTGTAATATAAACAGATAAATACTTCTATTCTTTGCTCAACCCTTTATTGTTCCCTCAGTAAATGAGTTTTAGTACAAGGTCTGGCGATGAACCCCTGCCAGCAGTTTAATCTGTGCTGCTTGACTGCACCGAAATAACTGACGTTGGTTTGGGGAGCGGGACCCCATACCTGTGGCAGAAGAGCAACATCCCCCAACTGCCCTTCATTTCTGCTCAACTCAGCTGCCCAAAACCTCCAACTGGGGTCATTCATGTGAAAATACAGCTCGCAAACTCAAGCATCATTTATCGAGGTCTTTCCTAATAACCACCTCCTTAGCAGTGCTGGCACTTTTTGAGGTCCACAAAGATTAGTGTCACCAGCTGTTAGATGTAATGAGTCCACAATGGAGGGTGAATTTTATATGCTGCTTTCTGTACCCTTTTAGAAAAGAGCCTACACTTTAAGGAAAAGCACTGGTTGTTTACATTAAAGGAAGTACTGCAAATGGAAGAGCACCTATTAGTAGAATGGTGTGGAAGGTGTGTAACTAGATGAATGAGTAACAAAGGAAGTTTCCCAATAATTGATAACTTTCTTTTCTTAGGTCGCTGGATTTGTGATTGTTGTCAGAAAGACCCTCCCGTACCCCGAAGAGGAGGAAGAAGGGGGAAAAACAGCAAGGAGGGCTAAAAAATCCCCAAAACTTGCTGTCCAAAACTTAACTGCACAAATTAAAGTGATACTTTGGTGCTATTTAACCAACCACTCTAAGAGGAACAATACCACTTTTTTTTTCTTTTTACCAAATAAACTTTTAATTTTGGCTATATAATGATTTTTTTGTGATAGAAGTCACTGATAATGTTCTTTCAGGTATCTAGAGATAGAGCCAAATTCCCTCTCAGAAAGAGAAGGCTTTCAGTAATGAAATTTAAATCGTACATGCACCGTTTGTATAAAATTATAGTATCGTACTTGTTTATTTCAGTGCACTCATCAGTAAGCTCTGCGAAAAGAAAATTACAGAGCAATTTAAACATATACTATTTGCATAGCAACTGGTTATTTTGAAAGACTCAACGAAAGCAAAAAATACTCCTGGAAAAACTAACTTTCAAAGAAGAGTGGGCAGGACCTGACTTTCCTACAACGTACTGCAAATTCATTTCAGCAGAATTTTCGTTGCAAGCTAATGACTTATTCATAAAGGTGTACTAAAAAGATCAATCACAAAAAGCTATAAAGGGAGGTGGTAAGAAAACACCTCTCAAGTTCAAGATACTATATGCTGCGTTGCTTTTAACGAGGAATGAAAATGTCATATTGACAAGTAACAACAGCTGAAGGCTTGCTCTCCCTGCAGTAATAGTGAAGAAGTGACACGCGCTTGATTCAGGTCACGGATTTGCAGAGGTGACGAGTGACTGGACAGACCTCTGCCTGACAGATGGCTGACTTGGTGCAGAGAACAAACAGTCAAAACACAGATCATCTATCCCCTCAGGTGACTGATTGGGTTTTCCTTCCTTTACCCTAGGCTCCTCCACTTGTGTATGCTCAAAAGCCATTGTTAATTATTTTTACTGGAGATACTTGCTCAGTATCAGAAAAGGAGTAGATTTTCTTTTTAAATAGGCTCTAAATTGAGAGGGGGCACTGAAGTGCAGCAGTTTGTTATTTTACTTTTCTTTAAAACAACAATAGAAAATACTGACTTGGAGTTGATTTTCCTAAGCACCTGTTTAAAGTGAATTTAAGAAGATCCCAACTGTACATTCATTTTGAAGCCCTGATTTCTGAAGAACACTGCAAATACTGTCCTTGCTGCTTATTTTACACATGGGGAGGATTTACAATATAAAATTAAAATATGGCTTTTTCCCCCACTTACTTTCTGGTTTAGGAAAAGTAACCTGAATACCTCCTCAGGAAACATAACAAAGATTATTAAATATTACAGCAAGTCATTTGTATCCAATTTCACAGGCTGAAGTGTGATTTAGTCCAGTGTGTATCAATTTTTTTAAAAAAGAATTTCAAGTATTAATTTCAAGATTCCAAAAAGTATAGTCCAGAAAACAGACTCCCCATCCTGATATTCATCTTCTGTAGACTGTGAGTATTTCTGGTTTGCCTCCATCTCCTCGGGGTTGTAAGAAGCCTCACCAAAGGGGTACTGTACAACTGTTCGATCATAGTATACTTTCATTTCAAACTCACTCTCCAGGTGAGAAGGGTGACCATAAATCCCTATTCCCACTGGGCGCCGGAAGTGTGCAGGAACGTGGACAACGTCTTGGCCACAAGTTACAGACTGTAACTCGTATTCATCAAAGCTGGGGTGAAGTGTCATGTCAGATACATACAAGTCTGCATCACCTTTCAAACTTCGCATCTGAAGTACTATCTTTCCCTCATGATTTAGTCTCAAGTAGCTGTAGTTTCCTGCTCCGATCTGACCTTGAACAACGTGAAGAAGAATCCATTCTTCGGGTACATCCTCTTCCTCAAAAGTGTTTAGCACAAATAGTACTTGAGCTGCCACAAATATCAATGCTCTTCTCCAGCGTGTTGCCATGGTCTTAAGTTATATTCAGACTCCTGCGCCCCGTGTACTACCCTGTGAATACAAAACATAATCCAGATTTTAGCATATTCCATTCCTGGAAGGAACTGGTTTGTTTGTTTTTTTTTTTTTTAATTTGGTGATGTTAGAAATCACCACTAGTCCACATAAAGACAAGCAACTTCAATGAAGTTTATTCATTAACTTTTCATCTTTTTTACCGGTAACAAAACCCGTTGCTAAGATGCACAGCTCTGTAGAATTAAAATGACTTGAATTTCTGAAAGAAGTTAAGCAGAAATTAATCAAGCGGGTGTTTTTTCATCCAGAACTGATAGAGACTTTAGTTTCATTCTACCTGCATACATACCAAATTTGACAGATACACAGATGAGATGAAACCCAGTAATAATTTTTAGCCTCAGTTTAAAAAAAAACAGTTAAAAAAGAAGGCTTTCACATGCCTGAAGATGCTTAACTTTGTATCGGGTATTTAGAGAATCCTATTTGTTCTCCCATCCTCTCATCTTAACTTCAGAAGACAGCAAAGGTGCCAGTCTGGATGTATGGAGCAGTATGCATTCTGACTTCCACTGGGAATGGAGTTACAAAAAAACCCAAATTATCTAGTGAGATAATATATTAATTTATGTTCCTGTGGTGTGGATTGTTTCTGGGACTACACTTGGCATACTTTCCCACAAAAAAAATGCATTTACTTTCCTGAAGATTTTGTTACCATGCAAATGCTCAGCTTTTTACAGCACTTGCTTACAGAACACAAAGCTGAAGTTACTGGGGCAAGGGGGAGAGGGAAAGGGCTGCTGCAAGATTAAAGCTCTTGTACCTTTGCCTCCCTGTTGCACGCTCCCAGCCAGGCAGCCTGAGCATGCCGGCAGCACGCTGGTCCTCTCAACAGTTGCATTAAGTGTGTGCATACAAAGAAGCAAGCTCTGAACCTCGCTGAAGGCTTCCTAAGTACACAGCTGACTGAATTTGACATGCAAATCACAGTCAAGTATAGGAGCCACACTTCCCCTCATTCCTTCCAGAAGGACAGTACAATTATCTTACACATTAAACCTACCAGTAAGTTGTTTTGCACCCTGCTAGCATCAAAACAAAGTGCGCTAGTTCCACTGAGATGTCACTTAAAACTTCAGAGGTTTTACAGTTAAACAGATCTAGGGAAAAAATGTACAAGTATTTCTGTTTTCTGTCCCAGAGGCCTCTACAATACAAGGCCACAATTCTGCAAAGACAGCATAAAAGGAAGCACGGCATTCACAGAACCTGCCAGACTGACAAATCCCCCTCAACAGCGACAGGAAAAAAAAAAAACCAAACAACACACTCTTCTGCCTCTTGTCTCCCTGTGTCAGGAAACTGACTCTCTGCCACTTTTAAACCGAAGCGGGGATGAAATATCCGAGCGGAGGAACGGGAAGAGCTGCACCGTCTGAGCAGAAAATAAGTTACCTAGGGACCGAGGAAAGCGTTTTGGCAGGAAAGGGGATTTCGGGAGACCTTGGACAGAGACACCAGCGCCCCTGCCCGCCTCCGCTGACTCCCTCCTTCCCTCCCTCCCCGTCGGCGGCGGGACAGCCGCTGGGGGGCACGGCCGGCTCCCGGGGTCCTCCGACCGACTCCGCCGCCCTCCCCGGGTCCCGCCGGCGGCCCTGCCGGGCACGGTAGCGGTTCCGGCGTCACCCCGCCTATTGCGGGCCGGGGAGCGGCTCACCTCCGACCTGCGGCGAGGAGACGGCCCGGGCGAAGCAGAGCAGCAGAGACTTCGCCGACGTGCGGCGGCCGAAGCCGGGCGGAGGGAAGTCGCGGCCAAACCACTCCCCAGGGGCGGGCTGAGGCGGGCCCGGCCTGGCTCCGGCCGCGGAGGCCGCCTCTGAGGAGCTGGCAGAGCGCCGGGCCGGGCCGCCCCTCACCCCGTACCCCTCAGCAGCGGCACCGGGCGCGGCACCGGCTGAGGAGGGAGTGAAGAGACTTGGGGCTGTGAGGGGAAGGGGGGGAACGAAGGGGGGGGCCGCCACTCACCGCCGTTACCGACGAGCTCTCCCGCCGCTGCCGCCCCGCCCCTGCCCGTTCCCCTCCCCGGGGGCGGGGCGGCGAGAGCCCTTCCCTGTTCTCGCGAGAGTTGGCAGCGGCGTCATGGCAACGCGGAACTCCCCGTTCCACATGCTCTCCCCGGTGTGTGGCCACCGTCAGGGCCTGGCTTTTGTCCGTTCATAACAGACCCCCCCGCACCCCCGAACTCCGCCTGTGGCCTGTGGCGGAGTTCGGGGGTGCGGGGGGGTCTGTTATGAACGGACAAAAGCGGGGGGGGGCTTTCACTGCGTTCTCTCGCTTCAGGGCACGCCTCGGGTGGGGGTCCAAAGCAGGATTTGCCTATAGGACATCACTCAGGACTACATCCAGGTGGGTCTTGAAGATCTCCAGAGAAGGGGGCTCCATGACCTCCCTGGGCAGCCTGTTCCAGGGCTCTGTCATCCTCACCATAAAGAAGTTCTTCCTCAAATTTGAGTGGAACTTCCCATGTTCCAGCCTGTGCCCGTTGCCCCTCGTCCTGTCACTGGGAATCACTGAAAAGAGTCTGGCTCCATCCTCCCTCAAACCACCCTTTAGATACTTACAAGCTTTAATAAAGTCTCTCCTCAGCCTTCTCCAGGCTAGAGAGTCCCAGCTCTATCAGACTTTCCCCATCAGGAAGGTACTCCAGTCCCTCCATCATCTCTGTTGCCCTACGCTGGACTCTCTCCAGTAGTTCCCTGTGCCTCTTGAACTGGGGAGCCCAAAACTGGACACAGTATTCCACTTGTGGCCTCACCAGTGCAGAGTAGAGGGGGAGAATGACCTCCCTTGACCTACTGGTGACACTCAGAATCACAGAATCACAGAATCTTCTAGGTTGGAAGGGACCTTAAAGATCATCTTGTCCAACCGTCAACCTAACTGACAAAAATAGACACCCACACAACAAACAAGGATCATCACTAAACCATACCTCCCAGCACTACATCAACCCGTCTTTTGAACACCTCCAGGGATGGTGCCTCAACCACCTCCCTGGGCAGCCCATTCCAATGCCTGATAACCCTTTCAGTGAAATTTTTTTTCCTAATATCCAGCCTAAACCTCCCCTGGCGCAACTTGAGGCCATTTCCTCTCGTCCTATCACCTGTGACTTGAGAAAAGAGACCGACCCCCACCTCTCTACACCCTCCTTTCAGGTAGTTGTAGAGAGCAATAAGGTGCTCCTTCTCCAGGCTGAATAACCCCAGTTCCTTCAGCCTCTCCTCATAAGACTTATTCTCCAGACCCCTCACCATCTTTGTCGCCCTTCTCTTGTTATGAACGGACAAAAGCGGGGGGGGGCTTTCACTGCGTTCTCTCGCTTCAGGGCACGCCTCGGGTGGGGGTCCAAAGCAGGATTTGCCTATAGGACATCACTCAGGACTACATCCAGGTGGGTCTTGAAGATCTCCAGAGAAGGGGGCTCCATGACCTCCCTGGGCAGCCTGTTCCAGGGCTCTGTCATCCTCACCATAAAGAAGTTCTTCCTCAAATTTGAGTGGAACTTCCCATGTTCCAGCCTGTGCCCGTTGCCCCTCGTCCTGTCACTGGGAATCACTGAAAAGAGTCTGGCTCCATCCTCCCTCAAACCACCCTTTAGATACTTACAAGCTTTAATAAAGTCTCTCCTCAGCCTTCTCCAGGCTAGAGAGTCCCAGCTCTATCAGACTTTCCCCATCAGGAAGGTACTCCAGTCCCTCCATCATCTCTGTTGCCCTACGCTGGACTCTCTCCAGTAGTTCCCTGTGCCTCTTGAACTGGGGAGCCCAAAACTGGACACAGTATTCCACTTGTGGCCTCACCAGTGCAGAGTAGAGGGGGAGAATGACCTCCCTTGACCTACTGGTGACACTCAGAATCACAGAATCACAGAATCTTCTAGGTTGGAAGGGACCTTAAAGATCATCTTGTCCAACCGTCAACCTAACTGACAAAAATAGACACCCACACAACAAACAAGGAGCATCATCACTAAACCATACCTCCCAGCACTACATCAACCCGTCTTTTGAACACCTCCAGGGATGGTGCCTCAACCACCTCCCTGGGCAGCCCATTCCAATGCCTGATAACCCTTTCAGTGAAAAAATTTTTCCTAATATCCAGCCTAAACCTCCCCTGGCGCAACTTGAGGCCATTTCCTCTCGTCCTATCACCTGTGACTTGAGAAAAGAGACCGACCCCCACCTCTCTACACCCTCCTTTCAGGTAGTTGTAGAGAGCAATAAGGTCTCCCCTCAGCCTCCTCTTCTCCAGGCTGAATAACCCCAGTTCCTTCAGCCTCTCCTCATAAGACTTATTCTCCAGACCCCTCACCATCTTTGTCGCCCTTCTCTGGACTCCTCCCTATGCAGCCTAGAAAAGTAAGATGTAGATAGTTGTAAACTCTGAGTTAAGGATGACACATTCGAGGAGGATGGTGAGACAAACTTGAGTGATGGAATATGTAGATTTCTCTACACGTTAAGCATTTTTCACAATGAAGCCTCTTAAGAGAAATCTAATTTTATCTGCACTGAAATTGGAGGTAATACACTTACTGGAGGATAGGTTGCCTTTCAACAATCAGTGAAAGCTTATGTGACTATCAGCATAAACTTCACCTAAGGTCACAGAACAGAAAAAACACAGTGTGAAGAGAAATAAAAAAAATCATTGCTCTTGAGTACCTGTTGGTTTCAACAAATTTACCTTAAATTGTCTAAGCTCTTCAAAACTGTAAGCAAAACAAACGGATTGATATTGGAAAACCAAATTTGCACGGAGTGTACTGTGTACCGAGAGATTCAAGACAATCTATGTGTTCCCCAAGGGCCCTGTATTAACAGAATAAGCTAATGTGCTGCCTTCATAGCTCTCGATTTTCACACAACCCATGTACCTTGTTCTGTTCATTCCTGCCTCAAAACGAACAGGCTGCAATAAGCCAGCGGGGAGAACGGCCGCCGTCGACCACGGTGCTTTCTATGCAGCCCAGCGTTCTGGTGCGGAGGGCGAAGGCCCCTTGGGGCCGCCGACACGTTTAGGAGAAAGAGAAAAAGGACACAAGGAAAGAGAAAAAGGACACATGGAAAAAGAAGCAGCGACCGCGTCGCTGTTGCCGTAGCCGCTGGCTGAGGCCTGCGCTGCGCTGGGCACCCGCAAGGGGGCGCGGGAGAGCCGTTAGGCGCGCGCTCAGCCGTTGCCCAGGCGAGGCGCCGCGCGCTGCTGGGGGACGGGAGGGCGGGGAAGCCGCGCGGGGCCCTAAGGGGGAGGCGGCCGCCCCGGTGCCGCCGCACCCGGGGTCTGTCCCGCTTGGACACCCGGGCTGTGGGGTCGGGCAAGAGCGGGATCCGCGGAGCCGGGCGGGCCCCTGCGCCTCTCCCCGCGGCTGGCTGTGTGGCCCCGGGACCCCCCCGCTGCAGCCGGCGAGGCGACACCGGCCCCCCGTGGGGTTTTCCCCGCGGGGCCCGTGTCAGCCGCGGGATGGACAGCGGCGGCGACCGCTGTTCTGCTGAAGGAAGCTGCAATCCTGACGTGGTCAGCGAAAAACACTTGTTTAAATCCGAACTGTCCGAGTCCCTTGTACAGCTGGCGTGCAGCCACCATCACTGTGCTTTCCCTTGGAATCGCACTGAGCTGTGCGTCTGGAATACTGCAACTGCTCAGGTAAAACCAGAATACGTCTCTTTATAGGATATTACTTCAAAAGGAAGCCCAAAAGGAAGATATAAACAAGATATTTGGGAGTAGTGTAGGAGTGACAGGTTTGATTTTAATGCTGGGAAGACATTAGCATTTGTTATCAGCATTGTTATTGAGATTAGGATAATATAAGCTATTGTAGTGGGTTGACCCTGGCTGGCACCTAAGCCAGCACCCAGTCTCCTGCTCACTCCTTCTCAGCGGGGTGAGGGAGAGAATAGGATGGGGAAAAGTGAGAAAAAATCCCGGGTCCAGATAAAGATAATTGAACGAGTGAATAAAAGAGGAAAAAAGAAGTGATACTCATCATCCACAAGCAGACGAATCCCCAGCCTTCAATCAATGGTCAGCTTAGAACACAACCCCTCAGCCCCGCAGCACCTTCTTCATCCAATACCTCATTTTTATTGCTGAAGCAATATCATATGGTTGGGAATACCCTTTTGCCACGTCAGCTGTCCTGGCTCTGTCCCCTCCCACTCTTTATTGCACCCCCAGCCTGTTTGTTTTGGAGTCGGGACAGAGAGGGAAAAAGAGAAAGCCTTGACTCTGTGCAAGCACTGTTTGGCAACAGCCAAAACATTGGTGTGTTATCAACACTGTTTTTGTGACAAAATCCACAGCACTGCACCACACAAGATGCTATGAAGAAAGTTAACTCCATCCCAGACAGCTGCATTGTAGTTGATTGAGTGATTTTAAAACAGTAAGGAAAAATTAGTTGTTTTGATAATGTTAACCATCTGTAATTTTGTATTGTTCATAATCTTAGTTTGAAGCCACTCATTTAACTCTTCTTTAACTGCGTTTGTCAGCCATTACTATTGTCAGGACATCATTACTCAATTTCGGCGGTGTCATTTGGAAGTAAACCCAATCCACTTCTTGTCTGCTCTGCTTCTCATGAACGTGTAATAGTGTGGGATCTTGATGAATGCGCACAGAAAGTGCAAGAAGGTAGAGTATTATTCATATACCATACACATATTACATATATAGGAAAAGGAAGTGATGCAAAAGCAGTTACTCACCACCTCCTACAAGCAATGCCCAGCCAGTCTCCAATCAATCGCCACCTTAGAAAACAACTCCCCAAGACCTCCTTTTCTTCCACTACTAATGCTATAAAAAGTTTCCTTTTTATACCATTAGTAGATTTTGGAGTGGCATGCGTTAGCCACTCAGGTTCAGAAGCCCGACAACTCCCCAAGACCTCCTTTTCTTTCACTACTAATGCTATAAAAAGTTTGCTATTTCGGAGTAGCATGCGTTAGCCACTCAGGTTCAGAAGCCCTAACAGGGACAAATAGCGCTTTATTTCTCTGTTGCTCTTCTCCGGCAGTGCCGAGCTGAATCAGGCCAGTAGTCCAGCCAGCCTGGTCACCATACCTTCCAGAAGACCCCGCGTTAGCAGCCGCCGCGCTCCCGGGAGCCCACCGGCGCGCAGCCCCGCGGGGGTGTGAGGCCGGGGGTGCCAGGGGCGAGTGGCTGGCCCCGGGAGCTGGCCAAGGTGCTGTGCGGGACCAGGCGGGTGCGGGCAACCTCGGAGGAGACGCGGAGAAGCAGAGTGCAGAGGCAGCGTGAAATAAAGGCTGTGAAATAAAAGACACAGCAAAATTTTAATCATCTCAGAACTACGTAACTAAGCATACTCCGGCAGTGCCGAGCTGAATCAGGCCAGTAGTCCAGCCAGCCTGGTCACCATACCTTCCAGAAGACCCCGCGTTAGCAGCCGCCGCGCTCCCGGGAGCCCACCGGCGCGCAGCCCCGCGGGGGTGTGAGGCCGGGGGTGCCAGGGGCGAGTGGCTGGCCCCGGGAGCTGGCCAAGGTGCTGTGCGGGACCAGGCGGGTGCGGGCAACCTCGGAGGAGACGCGGAGAAGCAGAGTGCAGAGGCAGCGTGAAATAAAGGCTGTGAAATAAAAGACACAGCAAAATTTTAATCATCTCAGAACTACGTAACTAAGCATAAAATGCCAAAATAACTAAATGCTACTTATTCTGGAATATCTGTAGAATTAGTGTTTTGTATCGTACTTTTGTCTGGTCCTGCCTCTCCTTCTGCCTGTCTGGAGCACTCTTGTCACATGTGCGGAGGAGCAAGGTGAGTATCTGATTTGGGAGGAGAGTGCATGAGTGAAAGAGAGTTATGATGGTCTAACACAAAGAAAGCAGAAGTTCTACTTCACAATGAATTTGCAAATCTACATATTATGAAAATTAGTGTTGTGAAGTGAAAATTATAGGTGCTTTTATAACAAATGTCATTATTACATTTTAGTCCATGTAAAAGTAACATAGAGAAAAATGGAAGCTAGAAATAGACAGTTGGTAGCAGACAAAGAGTTTGTATAGTTTTCGTACAAAGACATTTGAAAGCCAGATTCTCTGATGCTGCTCCCTTTCTCTTTTCCTCTCTATCCACAGACACTTCGGCAGATGCTGTGTAGTCTTTCTCTCCCCAAACTGTACTCTGCACAGTCTTGGCATGTTTTCTGTGAGGGAGAAAGTTAGGGAGTTGTTTGTGTCATCCATCTCTCCATCCTAGATCTTGACACATTAATCAATTGTAGAAACACTCCACAGCATCTAGGATAAAATCTAGAAAAGGACATGTATAGTTGTTGTGCCTGTATCCTAGTTAATTTGTTGCCTATGAAATGCTAAAATTTAATGAGATGTTCAAAATCTCCTCACATACCTAAATTTGGCATCATAAAATAGGGAGCTGCAGAAACCAGCCTGCTTGAACCAGTGAGATGACCAGAATGAAGTCACACAGAGAGGGTTGAAATATGAGCCTGTTCTCAAAACTAGTCTTATAATCTGACTCTGTATTTAGTGACATACTTCCTCTTTCAGCCCTTTCCCACAGACGAATTAAAACCAAGAGAAGGAAAGTCCTCCTTGCTTGATGGCTGACTGGCTGGGATATTATCCTGGAAGAAGTATTTTTGCTGGGCTTTAGTTAGGAGTTCTTGCCTCCAAAATGAACATGGCTCTATTGGGTTCTTTGGGTGTATCTCCAAAAATCCTGTCCCTGGCAGTTTCCTGTGGAAGTATGATTTGATCGGCACACTTATTGTTAGAATCTCAAAGAGTATCAGATCATATCTAGGTAACAAGGCAGAGGGAGGAATCCTGCTTGTGCATCGTTCTGTGCTTTGCTTTCCAATAGCTGGGTGTAGTTAAACTGTGGGTTGTTCTGTGCATCTTCCCGGCAGAAACCGGGATAGCGCTGTGGTTAGATAACTGCTATGCAAAGTTTCTAAGAATCTCATTGCACCAGAGTTTTATATTTCATTGAGTCTCAATAACAATAAAATTGCTGCAGGGTTATCACCTCGAGGAATTGTTATAGGAACTCTTTTGGGAATGGTGCTTCATGTAAGATTTAGTCCGGATGATGAACAGGTGGCAGTATGCGCTGGAAATTGCATCTACATGTTAAGTGCAAAGGTGAGATACCATTCTTTGTAGCCATGGTGCTGGTATTTCTTTAACTTACTCACTTTGGAATAAAATAATGATACAGAAATGCCAGTATGATTAAGCAAAAGCATTCATTTTTTTCATAGAGATGAAAATAAGTTTGGATTAATGGCTGATCATAGAATCATATAACAGACAGAAGAATATATTAAAAGAATCGAAATGAAAAAATATCTCAATAACTTAGAAGAAGAAAACATTCTGAGGCCATCTGAAAAATTACTCCTATATCACTCATTCTGAAGAGGCAAATGTAATGTGTAGTGGTTTTGCCAGCAGGATGATATACAGGGCTGCAGTTTCTGTAAGAGAAATCTTATTGAATTAATATTTTGTATCGAAACCTGACAATTTTTAGCAACAGTTATTAATTATTATAACATTTAACTAATAGTAACTTTTATTTTGAAAACTAATCTGTTTTTATTTTGACTTGACTAATCACAGAATGAAGCTGTACTAGCTGAATTGGATGGCCACCAAGCTCCAGTGACTGCTGCTGAGTTCTGCACATGGGAGAAAAGTATGCTTATATCAGTGTCAGAAGACAGAACCTTTAAGGCAAGGAAATTGTAGAACTGCACTTTAAAAAAATATAATTTAGTGAATGTGTTATGGTCTTTTTTTCCCTTTAAATATTTTCTGAAGCTTAAACAAAAAACATCTTTGGCTTCATAGAGATCAGGACATTGTTCTTAGAGTTGCTTGGGAAATAATTGCAAAAATTATTTACTCTTTTTGAAAAGAACAATGCAGATTTTTTGTAGTCAAAACTTTCTACAGTGAAGCATTAAGTTTGGTGATTATTATAATCTGCCAAGTGGAAATAAAATGAAATATTTTTATCAGTTTGGCTGTAATTGAAATGTTTCAGGTATGCTGAACTGAATGAAAGCATTTCACTTTGAGTCTGCTGACATGGATTGCAATTTTTGCTTTTGAGAATTTTGAGCTATTGCATGGACTTGGGTGGGTTATTGCACTCTGGTAGGATTTTTTGCCAGATAACATCTTATACAATGACACCATGGATTGCTGCTGCTGTACATGACAACAACTGAAGACAACTTAGACAGTAAGGGGAAACAAGGAGCCTGAGTGAACCCAGATGTATCTTCCAGGAGATACTGGGGTGGATACCTTGATTAGATATAGTTTAGTTTACTACTGGTTGTCCTCTATGTGATTCCAAACATAGCCCAACATTTGGTTCTGCAAGCTAAAGTTTGCTATATCAAAGGTTGTTTTTTGGTTTTGTCTTTTTTTTTTCCTAAATTCAATTTTTATTTAACTGTTCCGGAGACAATGTGGGTTTGATTTTTGTCCTAGTCTTGACCAAAAAAAAACCAACAAAAAAAACCCAAAACATTTAATTGGAATTTTAGGAAATAGTTATAATTCTGACTTTCTGATTGATTGCTTCTTATTTAGTTCAAGTTGATCTAAGAAATTAAATCAAGGTAAAAATGACTGAAAGAAAAGATCTATATGCTTCTTCATATTAGTTAATAGACTTGATAAAATACACAAAATCCTAATGAATAAGGTTTTTGTTTGTTTGTTTGTTTGTTTTTAACTTGATAAACGTTGGGACTAAAATGACAATCAAATGAAAATATTTTGTGAGTCTCTCAAGTAAGTTAGTAAGTCAGTCTTCAAGTTTTATTTTCTCTGCCAATCAGGGGTAATTTTCTAAGGGCAGCCATGCTGGAGTCTGTGATAGTTGGCTCCTGTGACTTGAAGTGTCCAAAACCTTATACTCCGCTAGCCCTTTTAGTTGGCTAAAGAAGTGAAACAGGTGAGAATCTCTTCAGATAAATTTGTGAAACAAGGTCTTAGGAAACAGCTTTTCAGAAGGATGTTTACATTCAGAGAGAAACAAAACATGAACACAGAGGAAAGGTTGGGAGCTAAACAGAGGCTCACAGCCACGTTCAGAAAGCAAGGACTGACTGGCTGTGATTTTTTCAATCCCAGCTGTGGTAGCTATGATAAATGTAGTGAAAGTACTTGTGGAGATGATGGCTCATAGAAGTAACAACATGAAAGACGAAATTTGGTTTTCGTTAGGTTTCTTTTCAGTTAGAAAAAAAAGCTGGGAAAAAATCCTTACCATATTGTATCACTTTCAACAGCTGCATTTTTCTGTTTTCACCACATGATGGCCATTGAAGTTTGCATTTTCCTTAAAAATCTCAGTAGGTGCTTATCTCTTTTTTATTCTCTAAAGGTGTGGGACTATTCTACTGGCCAGTTAATATATCAGTCAGGAGTATTAACAGGTAATTATTTTTTTTAAATACATACTTTTTCATGGCAAAAAAATCCTTTCTCCTTAAACAATAGCATAGAATTATAGAAGTTTTTAGTTGATTTAGTGAAAACAATTCCATTAGACTAGGTAGTAGTATACATATTATACTTTAAAACCAGTAGTACATATATTTTCCTTTAAAGTGTACTTCTGGGTAGATAGTTTTAGTGTATTTTCATAAACAGCTCTTTTTGTGTAACTTGCCATTTACTGAGTTATGCAAACGGAGCTCTCTTGTTTTGTAGGTACAGTTCTACTCTTTCTATACTACATGCTTGTTTTCTTTCAAATTTTGTATATGACATGGAAGGAAATACTATACCATATTTAGATGTATCAGCAGTGTCTGCAGCTGATCACATATACTTACTTTAAAAGTGAAAACTACTTTTGTGGAAAGATAAAAGCAAGAGGACAGAAGAGGAGGAAGGCAAGCATTGTCTCCAGTGCAGCAGAAACCCCCCTTACAGTAACGTTTTTCCTTAAGGAACCATATAATTTTCAACAGGACCTGCTCAAGCTCCCCTTTGGCTGTTCCTGCTTGTGGTGATAATAGTGGTGATTGGAGCACACACTGAGGGAACGAGCTGCATGGAGATTGGTTGTTAAGATTTGTGCATACATATTATTGGGTGACCTCACGTAAACTAAAAGCTAAAACCACATGGTAGGACAGAAGAGGAAGAAGGGGTGATTCCCTCATGATTGCCTGTGGCAATTGCTTCCCTTGAAAACCTGCCCTAACCACAGTATCAAGGTTTGCAGGTGCAACGCCATGAGACTAACAACATGGGAACAACAAGGGGAAACTCCTGCCACAGGTGCTCTGAAAACCTTGCCACAGCAGCTTGGGGGAAAGGCTGCAGAAAACACTGCTGTGGCAGCTTGGGTGGAAGGCAGGCCACAGAACTGCAAATGGAAAGCCCTGAGCAGCACAAAGGCTAAGGCACATGAAATTTTGTGTAGCTGTAAGAATTGCAGTTGGGGTTTTTTTCATCTGTCTTTATGAATAGGAGGCTTCAATTTTGACTCATGTATTACAATTAAATACTTGATTTGTGTCTACTTTGGAAATAATTTTATCTTTTATAAAACAGCATTTCCTCTGTTAAGTCTTCTAATTGATGAAAAAAATAAACAGATGATCACTGGATGTGCTGAGGGACAGGTAAGAATTACCTATTAAACTTAGTCTCTATGTCAAAACAGTCAACTATTATTAATTTATCTGTCTATTAAAAAGCTTCATAATCTGCATATGTTTTGAACCATTACAATATTTTAGTAAGGATAATTCAATGTTACAAATCACATATGGTATATAAGACCTCTATTAGAAAATGGAAACTTTCTCCTGAAAACCAGGAAAGCTTGTAAGAGCACAATTAGTGATTATATAAGAAGAGTACACTGACAAGCTATAAATATTTTTTAAAATAAAAAAGGTGAAAAATGGGATTCTCCGATTTTGGCCAAGGAATGAAACACATAATAATAAATGGAAGAGACTATGATTTCAGCATGTTGGAATTCTAATCAAAATGTGATGAAGGTGAATATGCATCCCACCTCCTCTTTAAGTTAGTGTTAATATTATATTTACACTAGATTTTCCAGCAGTTTCCCTTCGGTGTTACCGTTCAGTGTATTGTGAAGAAAATGAAAGAATTAACTATAGTGGTGCTTGAAAAGGGAAAGGTATACATGAAATTGATCTATGTGACTCACTGAGCAATTACATGCAAGTTTTCTGTGACTTTTAATTGTGGGAAGTAGCCTATGGGGAGTTTTTTTCCAAGACATAAACATGTGGGAATTAGATGCATAGTTCAAATTGATAGTGGTTAATATTGAATATATCCTTTGATAATCTTGGGAACAAATGTAATTGGATTTCTGGTCCAAGGTGAGATTCCATATACAAAAATTCATTAGTTACATCAACAGTTTTAAATATTGGACCTTTAGTTTTTGTTCATGTAAACTGTATGTTTAGTGTCAAAAGGTTACTGCAATTGTTTTTTCTTCTTCTTGCAGCTTTGGATCTTCAGTTTAATCACTGATCACAATTACCGTTGCATAGCACTTATCAACTTAAAGAAAGAGCACGAGAAATTCTGTAGTAAAGCATGGAAATCTGGAAAAGAAATAGGTAGCACAGTGCTCCTAGAATGCTGTTTATGGTATATTCTAGTTGTTATTGGCTACTGACGGTATGCTTTTTATATCATGAGAATTTATTATAAATGATAGAGTTATGAGTCTCAGACTGTGGCATGGAATTCTCACTGAAGCTGATGTGAAGTTCAGTATTGGCATATCTGGAAAGAATTATGCATGTATGTCTGTAATAAAATCTCGGCCAATGCAACAGCTTATAAAAAGTGATGTGCTCAATGTGAATTATTAAGTATTTGGGTTTTATTGAATTCATTGTGCAAGGCTTCAGTGAGAACAGAATCAGTGCCTAAAATTTCATCTATTGTCTAAATGGAGTACCATTTCTCAGTTACCTTTGATGCTTCCAGGAATCTCTTTTTTATTTTTTATTTTAAATCCGTACCAATACCTCCACGATATGGTATTTCTCTGGCTGTGGTATTTCTAGTGGTAATAGAGAGTACTTAAAAATCTTTAAAGACTGCACTGGCAACCTCAGCAACATGATTTCATGTTCCCAAATGAGACATTCAGACTACCTGCACATTAGCTGAAGTGAGTTGAAATCCTCCTAAAGGCAAGCAAAAGAGAGCTTCAGGGAAAGAGAGATCTGGTTTCTCTTGCTTGCTCTTTTTCTGGCTTCAACGACTGTTGCATTCTTAGCTGCTTCAATAATCCTAAACTCCTAACCTAATAAGACAGACTGCTACATTTCTTGTTATTATTTAAAATATACAATGTTGCTTTCATCTTTGGGTGTTTGAAAGAGAGTGATGTAGTGTCTGTGCCTAATGCTGAATTCACCGCTAGTAGTTCCTAGGTGTGAACTGCACATTCATAATCGCTTGGAGACTCCTTGGGAACATGAAACTGAGGTGTCTTTCCATCTTGCTTTTTGATTATATTGTAACTTCAGCATCTGAGGAATTTTCAGGCTAAGTGGAAAGGTACCCAGTGTATTTCAGAGTTGTTGGAATATGTCTTTCAGAGTCACTTTTTGAGATGAACACACCTAAATTCTACCAACTCCCTTTCAGTCCTTAAGTAGGCTATCTGGAGTTTATGTATTTGAAAGAAGTTGGGAGTAAAAATAAAATAATAATGAGGAAAGATATTTCAAGAGGGCTGGCTCTTAAGATATATCCATCTTTTGAAATAGAAACTTCTTGAGTGCGGTCTCATTTCATGCTACTTTGCTATTTCTAATTCTCTCTTAAATCCGATCTGTTTCCCTTATTTCATTGTTTTTTGATAGCTAGTACTGTTGATTGTCTTTCCTAGGTGAAGGGCGAAATACTTCCAAGCTCTGCAAAACAAACAACATGAGACCAGAAAGATCAGTAGAAACATCATTACCTGTCCTCTTAATTGAACACTGTGACTTTTCAGTATGTTTCCATAATGAAGAAAACATGTAAGTCCTCTAAAATGACACCAAGTGTTTGGCTGGAAACTACTCCTAGCAGTTCCTATTGGTTCTTGGGTAATTTTCACTGCAATGCAAAAGAATGTATTTAGTGATCTGCAAGTTTTGGTGGCCTACTCTTAGCCGGATAATATACACAACCTGTTACAAAGTTAAAACTGGTTTCTAGTCTGAAAAATAATTTTATAAAAATAACATTGGGAAAATCCATGTTAGCATCTATTGATACTAGTTGATCAGGGAAGATCAATTAAAAAAAATAATTGAGAAGCCAAGTGGAATGAAAAGGCCATATTTATTTGGCCAAACTTTGCTTTCCTAAGGAAGTAAGTCTGATGCAGTCACTGTGTGCCTGTGTCAGTTTGCCTTCCAAATTTAATTAACTTTTGAACTACATAACCTGTTCTAGCCAAATGTTTGTCAGAGAGACAGACATTTCAAATCATGATATTTTTACTCCTTCCCATGCAATTGGTTGGCCAGGTAGAGATGCCTAAAACAATCATTATATTGCTTTTCTTTCCTGGAGAGAAGTTTAACCATATTACAAGGCACCTGGGGATCTGTTCAGGATACTGCCACCAGAACTGTTTCATAGAACAAATTGTTTTTGTTGTTACTTATAATTGTCTTTTGGATAAATTTACTGGCCACATCATGTTCTAGGAAACACTTGTTCCAACCTTTGTCTATGGTGGGTTATACATGTATAACTGATTAATCCTCTGGTTAGATATATAAAAAATTTTTGATAAACAGAGATGAAAAATACCCAGCAGTCCTGGATCATTTTTTTTGTCTTTATGTCAACTTGAAGTACTTATTAACAGTTATTTTCATGATGGCTACATTTTCAGAAGGACTACCGGTGAGAGGAAGGAAATGGTGATTTTAAGGATGTACATCTCAGACATACTTTAATGGAATGTCAGAATTCTAAGGCCAGAAGATGAATTATTACAGTTAGTCTTTTTGTTTGTATAGTATAACTCTCAAATCAACAAAACTTCATCTTCTTCAAAATTGTACATTTTATTTGAACTACTGCACATCTTTAAAAATACCTAGTTTTCCAGTGATGAAGATTGCACTGTATCTCTAGTTAAGTTCTTCCAGCAACTGATTAATTCCATTTTATTCCTTATCTGAATTACCCTATTTTCATGTACAGTTACGGGCTCTAGAACCAGCTTACTATCAAGTTCCCTTCTTGCAAAGCAAATTATAGCTCATGAACAAGTTATCTCTACACTTCCAGATAAAATAATTTGCACCTTGTATAAGGCATGATTCCTGTAACATTTTTAATCCTATTTTCATGTACAGTTATTGGCTCTAGAACCAGTTATTATCAAGTTCCCTTCTTGCAAAGGAAATTATAGCTCATGAACAAGTTATCTATACACTCCCAGATAAAATAATTTGCACCTGGTATAAGGCATGATTCCTGTAACATTTTTAACATTTGCTTTTGAACTTTTTCTGAAATTAAATCTAATTTCTTTTTCAATGTCCGTTTTGGACATGGTTGCCTGAAATGGATCCACAGTAAAAGGTTAATTGAAAGATTTTCTGAATAGAGGTAACATCACTTTCCAATACCCACCTGGCATTGTACATCTAAGGTCTATTTATGCTTTCTTTTTATGCTATTGCATCAGAGTTGGAGGTTTTCTCTCGCTTATAAACAACCATGACTATTAAATTCTTACTATTAATCCAGTTCCATTAGCTTTTATTTTTAGAGTTTTATATTTACAAGTATTTTTTTGTTTAATTTTTAAGTTACCATGTATTGGTTTTAGCAGGTGGTTCAGACTTGTCTGAACAACTGAGAAATCCCTGCTTTACCAGTTTTCCTTCCTACAATGAAATGCAACCATGAAACATTTTTGCAACACTGATCTGCAAAACATTATGGGTCTCATACTTCCCTAAGCTTTTTGACTTGAGTAATTTCATCACAGTGGATGGCATTTTATTATTGTAAAGGAGGTGTGAGAACAATGTCCTGTATATATCAGTTATCATTGTTCATAATAACTTGATAGTGCCACTTCTTTATAAGTAATTCAAAGAATTCACAAATTAAATCAGTCTCTTACAACCATGCATGAAAGTAGTGCAAACCACAAATAAAACTATGCTGAGCACATAAAAGTATTGCAAACTAGAATTGAAGCTGTCTTTCCCCATCTGCTTTTTAAAGTATTTGACTGTTTTGGGTTTGGTTTGGTTTTTTGGTTTTTTGGGGGGGTTTGGTTTGTTTTGTTTGTTTGTGTTTTGTTTTGTTTTTTATTAAAAAGTATTAAGCCACTGTGATGAGTATTTTTATGCCAAGTTTCAGCTTTATATTTTTCCATACCGTTATTTCAACTCTTGTAGTCTGAAGTCACAAATCAAACCAGTAAGTCTCTGCACTCTTATTTAGAAAATGTATTAAATTGTTCTTGTGCTTTAGTCCCAGCCAGCAACTAGAACCATGTGGCTGTTCACTCCATCCCACCTCCCCAGTAGGACCTTCCTGAGAAGAGTAGGGAAAAGAGGGAGAAAAAAAATATCTTGTGGGTTAAGATAAAGACAGTTTAGTGGCACGGTAGCAAAAGAGATTAATAATAATAATAATAATAAAGAATATACAAAATAAAGTGATGCAATGCAATTGCTCCATGATCTGATGCTTTATTGCCCAGCTGGTTCTGAGCAGTGATGGTGGGTTCCTGCTCCCCAGCCAACCCCCGTTTATATACCGAGCATGACATGTATGGAATATTCCTTTGACCAGCTTTTCCTGTCTGTGCTCCCTCTAAGCTTCTATGGGAAGCTGAAAAAGTCCTTGACTTAATATAAACGTTGCTACACAACAACTACAACAACATGTGTTATCTCATGGTTATTCTCGTGGTAAATCCAAAACACAGCAGCTAATAGGAAAAAAATTAACTGTCCCAGCTGAAACCAGGACATTGACGATGATGTCTTTTCATTAACTGCATTTTTCAGATTTTTAGGATGGCAACCATTATATTGTTGTAATCTTCTTATGCTTGATAACGTTTTTCTTCTGTGAGGGTGATGACTGAAATTGTAATCAGTTGGTCGACTCTGTTGTGTTTGAAAAGGCTGGATTTCATGACCTAGTTGCAATAGGACTGCCACTAAGCACAGACTGAGACAGACATCCCAGGCTTGTCTGGTTTTTTCCCCCTTCGTTTTTGCTGGTTTTTCTCTTGTACTTTAACTATGTACAAACACACCTTCAATTTCACTGCTTTTTGTATCTTCATATTACAGGTGGTAAACGTAAGAGCATATGTGGATTTGCCTCTGTTTGAATTTAGTCTTTGTGCATACAGCATCTTTGTGCTACAAACATAAGTATTTTTTGAAGAAAAGTATGTCCTATACTGTTTTAGATTGCTTAGATTTAGATTATGAGCACTTACATAAATCAAGGATTGTGTTCTGTTCTTAGCTTTCAAAACTTCACCATTTGATTGAAACTATTTACTTTGAGCTGCAGATTTAAACAAAAAAAAAATCTGTAAATTAAATTCTTTTGTATGTGTGTGTGGTTTATTATTATTTTTATCCTGGGATTGGGTAACAAGTATTGAAAAAAAAAACAAAAAAAACAAAACCAAAAAAAAAACCAGTTGCTGTGTCTTGTATAGTAATAAGTAAAGCTTCTTTATCATACTCAGATAATTTTTTCTCCCCTTTTAATAGATCTTCTGCCCTGAATACTGCCTATTTTTGGATAGGAACCTCCACTGGCTTGTTAATAATTAATTTGGCAAACTTTGAATTAGAAGGTTTTTTATCTTACAAAGGTATGATAATAAAATATCTGATTGTGATTGCTTTCCTTTGTTATCTGATATAAATTATATTAGAATTAGTTTATGAAATAGCAGAATACAGTAGAGAGTAAGTGGGCTTTTTAAAATATTTTTTCTGATTAATTTTTATATGTTTTTCTGGCATTGCTGACTTGTCTCAGAAGATGTGTTGACACTAGATTTCTGTAGTAGCTAGCAATGAATTTTTATCTGATTTTGCAGTTTAGGAGAGTTAATACAAGGAATGTTACTCTAGTCCTACTTTATAATGTGGCGTTAAGCTAGAAGGATGTAACTCAAGACAGTGGGTTATCGTGGTGTTAAATTACTATGAGTAATTTTTTTTCCTGTTTTAGTGATAGTTTTTTCTTTTGAAATGCAAATACAATTTTATAGCACTATGTTCTTTTTGGCAAAGATCACAGTGACCTCAGCATTCGGTTTGCTGGATCATGTGCACTAACACGGAAGGCAGTTAATGGAAAGGTAAGTATACAGTAAACTGATGTAATGAGTGTTTAAATTTCCAGTTATTTCTGATAAGTATTAATTATGAATTTTGTTTACAGACTAATGTACATGTTTGTTTTGCTCAATGTGAATTAAAGAGTAGTTTCTCTGGAGAGGGTTGATTCTTCTTTATGGAATGTGCTAGTTTACATAGCTGGGTAGTTTTAAAGGTCTCACAGTTTGTGTACTGTCCAAAGTGATTAATAAGCAAAAAGTGAATTGATTTTTATGTTCAGTGTGTGCTTTGAATGTCAAGAGTGACCATTGGGAGAGCAGAGGCAATCTTTTCAGGGAAAAAAGATGCAAGCACTTTACACCTTGTTTCTAAAAAATATATTAGGATGAACTGCTTCTGAACCCTTTCAGGAAATCAGTGAAAACTCTTTGAGTTGTGAGGAAATTTCTGTGGAAAGTCACTAAAAGTGCTTTTAAGGAAGTGTAAGGCATTCTTGCTTGTATACTCCATTTTTTATTTTACATGTTTCCTACAGAAGCAAGCTGATTCTAGATCTTTTTACATAGTTAATATAATAGAGTTTTTTTTTTAAAGTAGGATTTTATTTTAAATTCAGTTCTTAGCAGGTTCTCAGCCTGTCTCTGAAACCAATCTTTCTTCCATGTGTACTTCTTTTCTCACAACTCTAACTGCAGAAAGAAGTCTATTGCAGAAGAGATTGGAATTTCTGTGACTGTTAGGTATGCAAGTCTGTTAAGACACATTTAAGCAACATAAGCCTATTTTTGAAGGATAGCATTAACCACTTTTTACTGGTTAACGCTCTTCAAGACTAAACCCATGTGACCAATTTTCATAAATGACATGATGTGATTTCATTTTCCATTATAAACGTTTCAGTGTTGGGCTAAAATTATGAAGTAAATGAAGTGTTATTTTATGATATAATTGCTGCAGGTTTTATGCTTGATCACCTCAATGTTTGAAGATATGATTGCTGTGTTGGAAGTGAACCTTGCTGGGTTGGTGAGAACTCAGCACAGTGCTTTTCTACTATGTGGAAACAAAAAAAGCCTATCGGTTATTGCCAGGTACAGAGTAAATTTAAATGTGTTTTGTTTTTTTTTTTTCCTCTGAGTTGGATTAGGCATTAGCTTTCCTGACTCTGAAGTGCATCAGATGGTCTTTTACAGTTCTACTTGTTGACATGGGTTTTTTTCAACCTGTTTTCCTGTCATGTTTTAATTGTATTGAGTGGGAGAAATCACAGAATGGTTGAGACTGTAAGGCACCTCCGCAGGTTGTCTTGTCCAACCACCCTTCTCAAGCAAGGTCACCTAAAGCTAGTTGCCCAGCACCATGTAAAAGTGAATTTTGAATGTCTGCAGGGAAGGAGAATCCATTTCGTCTCTGGGCAACCTGTGCCAGCGCTCAGTCACTCTCACAGCAAAAATATGTTTCCTGGTATTGATACAGAACCTCCTGTATTTCAGTTTTTGCCCATTGCCTCTTGTCCTTTCACTGGCAGATGGCAGAGCCTGACTGCCTTCCTTACAGCCACATACTGGTGCAGAGCGTTCTGCCTCCCCAGCTGTAGGACTTTGCACTTTCCCATGTTGAGCTTCATGAGGTTGCTGTCGGCCCACTTTCCAGCCTGTGGACATCTCTCTGGATGGCAGCACAACCTTCTTGTGTATCAGATACTCCTCTCAGTTTTGTGTCATCAGCAAACATGGTGAGGGTACACTCTGCTTCTTTTTCCAGTTGTTAGAATCATAGAATCATTTAGATTGGAAAAGACCTTGAAGATAATTGAGCCTGGCTGTTCAACTGCTTTTCAATCCATCTTACTGTGTGTTCATCCAGCCTATACTTCATCAGCCTGTCTATCAGGAGACAGTGTGTAAACCCTTACTGAAGTTAAAGTAGACAACATCCACTCCTCTCCCTTCTTCTGCCAAGCCAGTTGGTTGATCAAGCATGAATTCCCCCCTTCATGAATCCATGCTGATTATTACTTTCTTGTCCTTCATGTGCCTGTAAATGATTTCCCGGAAACACTGACATCTTGAAGGCAATAAAAACCCTATGATATACAATTAGTGCTGATTTCAGTGCTTAGAATAAAATCATCAGTTATTATTCACAGATTTATGATTTAACATATAAACGCAATGGCCTGTGAATCTCGTCAGGGTCAGGGCTTATCTGTGCTTCTGGGTATCTGAGCTGATAACTAATCTGCTATGCCTGATTTGTATTTATGAAAATATCACTGGTATCACACATACACAAAAATATCTAAAGAGAAATTTTGACACCTTTTCCTAATCTGATGCTTTTGCCCATTACATTGATTTTTTTATTTGGTTTTATAACTTAGGTGTTCTTTATTGACAAATTCTCCATTGTGTAAAGGTTTAAAGAAAAACTTGAAAGAACCTTCTAATAAAACGTTTGGTAAGTATAAACCAATCTGGAAATTAATTAATAAAGTTGTATTTTTAATAAGAGTAGCTTATTCACAACTGTCTGGTTGCTAATACAATCAATGTATTTTTTTTTGTTTTAAATACATATTGCATTATATTTTTATTTTGGAAGAATTTTGTACTTCTAGTAGTATTTAATTTCCTACATATGTATTGGTAGTGAAAATGATGTTAATATGGTATTTTCCTTCTTCTAATAATAATCCTCTGAGAACTTTCTGTGGATTTTCAAAGAGTTAAATAGTGTAGAACGTTTACATATTTTCATAAGTCATTTTGCATAGCATGCAATATATTTTTCTGTATAATTTGTAATTTCTTTCTTAACTTTGGTTAGCTGTTTTGGTTAATTTTATTATCCTGAATATTTTCTCAATACCTGAAAGTTTAGGAAATTAATTTTTGCCTCAATGTCCTACTGTTTAAAAAAAAAAAAGGTCTGACTTCCAGTTGCTGTTGAAGCACTTGTCGCTTCTTTGCTTAGCAACAGTAAAGCAAAATCTAAAAAACACCTGCAGAATAATATTTCATCATCACCTTTTCTTTAGGAATGATATAAAAGTATTAGTGGCTGTACACATGTAGAAATAATCTATTTTTACTATATCGATGCACTTGTTGGACCTGTTAGAATGTCAAAGTATATATCTTTAGTGTTGTATGATATTTTGAGAACTCATCTGCAGTGTTGTAGCTAGAATTCCAGGCTGCTATAGACACCCAGCACTGATGCCTCTACTACCCTTGCTGACACCTCACGTTGAGATAGATTAGGTGCTGTAAGGAAGTGCTATGGTCTCCTATGGCAAGTGGCACTGGGAGCTTCCTAGGAAGGACCCTTTTCTGCCTCATCGCAACGTAAAGAGAAAGGGTAGTTGGTGGGAGTTGAAGGAGCTTCTAATCTCAGCATAGGTAAATGTGACCGGGAGATCACTCCCAATGCACCTGAAGGTTATTTTCATGGGAATATCAACAAGATTTCCCCCTTTACGCCATTTATTTAATTAGGTTTTTTTCTGCTGATATGAAATGCTCTCATTCAGTTTCGGGCTGGAGGGTGCCCCTCAGGCTTCTTAGTACAACAGTGGGAATGCAGACATTATTAATAACTTAAAACACATAAAACCCCAAATATTTCTGTGTAGCCACCAGCCAGTTTATTAATGATCTTTAGATGCATTCCATCTTCCAAATATGAAGTGTGAATATATTGTAGCTAGTGCACATAAAGTCCAAGCATAAAATAGGCAACTAGAGAACACATTTGTAAATCAATGATGAAAAAAGTTCCTCAGAACAATATTCTTTTTAATTCAAGGTATAAAGAAGTTCCTACTCATTGATATTATTGGAGGATAGATGTTATGCAGTGTAACAGTTCATATTTCTTTTATTTGAGTGACTGGTCATAAATGTGTTTTGTAACATAAGGAGACATCAAATATTTCTACTCTGCAGGCTTAACTAAGTTTCTACTTTAATCTAAAAGTATGTTAAAAAATTTTTAATGAAAAAGAAATCATTTTGCTATAGGAGTGAAAAGCATGGTGAAAGATCAGCCACTGGTTTTCCATAATAAAATTAAATCATCAGGTTATACATCAGCACCACAGTGAGTAGATACATTACTATTTTGTCTGTTTTATTGGTGGGTGAGATTTTGTCATAAAAGAGAGCCATATAGTCTCATGACTGTGAAATTAATGACCCATGAAAAACAGATATAATGTTATCAAAGAAAATAATTTTTAAAATATGTTGTAAAACAAAATTTTCACAGCTTCTGGTCAGTGTTCAACTTCTTTTCAAAATCTATATTAGGCATCCTGTCTCTTTCATATGATTAAGCTCTTTTTATTTCTTCAGCTTGCAGAAAGAAATGTCTGAGAACTTTAAATGAATGGTTTTTGACCTTCAAAATGAATTATCCAACTCACAGAAAGCAACACTTAGGTGCAAACTCAGGCATTAGATCATTAGAAAGTGGTCTTGTCATCAATGTGAACATTATCTTGCCTACTGACATTATTAGTAGACATAAATAATAAAGAGGAATTAGGATTGTTTTTTGTTCGAAATAATTTCTGTAATGAAACATTTAACGTTACATATAGAAGAGTCTATGTTTTTTTTTATAGAATGACCATGTTTTCTCCAAATAATAACCTGAAGAAAAGTGAGGTATCAAAGTGGAAGACCACTTGTAGACGGTAGGTAATCTAGCCACTCTATTAGAGGAGGAACAAATTAAAATGAAGATAAATAGAGTTTTATTGGAAATGTGGTTTGTAGCTGCTTCTTTTATTGGAACTTTTTAGTTAGGAGTATAACTGGAATTAAAAGGCTTTGTAAATTTGCTATAAAATGATTCTAGCAAGTGATTCAGATTATCAGACTGTCAATTAAATTTGAGTAAGTCTTACATGTAAAAGAAAACATACACCTCTATTTTCTTACATTTTGGTTGCTAGAAAGAAGAACAGGTGTTAAATATGGTTGGAAGCATAGTCCCAATGTGTTCTTAAACTGGAATTCAAGTAGCAAAAGCAACTGAATGTGGCACAGGGAGAGTTAGTTATTTCAGATCATGTGCTTCATTCACCCCTAAAATCATGTTATCGTAAGCTAATGCAAGCTTACTCCGATGAATCCACTGGTCAAATTCTACCATTATGTATATTCTGTTTAAATTTATCATCACTGTGGACATAAAGAATTAATAGCTTTTTAGAGCTGGCACTTTCATCTTAATTGGTGCAGTATGTTAAATGGGGACATTACACACATGTTTTCTCTTTAGTATTATATTGAATCTTAGTTTTGTGTAGTACAAATATAAAAGTAAAGAATTATTAATGTTATCATTTTTCTCTTTTTAAAAAAAAGAAAAGTTTCCTAAATACTTCATAGCTCAAGACTAAATTTCTGTAATCCTTGCACACATAGGCAAGCCAATCATAGACTCATAGAATGGTTAGAGTTGGAAGGGACATCATCGAGTTCCAAACTCCCTGCCATGGGCAGGGACACCTCCCACCAGACCAGGTTGTTCAAAGCCCCATCCAGTGTGGGTCTTGAATGCTTCCAGGGATGGGCGATCCACAACTTCTCTGGGGAACCTGTTCCAGTGTCTCACCACCTTCACAGTATAATTTCTTCCTATATCTGATCTCAATCCCCCCTCTTTCAGTTTAAAACCTTACCCCGCATCCTATCGCTACACTCCCTGATAAAGGGTCCCTCCCCATCTTTCCTGTAGGCTCCCTTCAGGTACTGGAAGGCCATAATAAGGTCTCCCCAGAGCCTTCTCTTCTGCAGACTGAACAACCCCAGCTCTCTCAGCCTGTCTTCATAGGAGAGGCACTCCAGCCCTTTGATCATTTTTGTGGTCCTCTGCTGGACCCGTTCCAACAGGTCCATGTCCTTCCTATGTTGAGAGCCCCAGAGCTGGACACAGCACTCCAGATGGGGTTTCACAAGAGCAAAGTAGAGGGCGAGAATCACTTCCCTTGGCTTGCTGGCTGCACTTCGTTTGATGCAGCCAAGGATACAGTCGGCTTTCTGGGCTGCCAGTGCACATTGCCAGCTCACGTCGAGCTCATCCATGAACACTCCCAAGTCCTTATGCTTAGGGCTGCTCTCCAGCCATTCTCCACCCAACCTGTATTTGTGCCCAGGATTGCCATGTCCCAGGTGCAGGACCTTGCATTTGGCTTGGTTGAACTTCATGAGGTTTGCATGGGTGCACCTCTCAAGCCCGTTCAGTTCCCTCTGGATGACATCCCTTCCCTCCAGCATGTCGACTGCTCCCCACAGCTTGGTGTTGTCAACAAACTTGCTGAGGGTGCACTCCATCCCACTGTCCATGCCTCTGACAAAGATGCTAAACAGCACAGCGAGCACTTCAGATAATTTCTAGATTGGTTTGTGCTATTTTATGGTAGGTTGAGCTACTTAGTACTCAGTTCTGTGGGGGTGTCTTTTAGTATCTTGTTAAATAGATCTTCAGAGTAAGTCTCATTTTTACATAAGGAGATATTTTTGATATTGTATTTTGTCACAAAAAGGTAGAATTTGCATTCCTTAAATACTTTTATAAGGTAGGTATGCAACTTAAGTTTCATTTTATATGCAAGTCCATGCTAACTCTTGATCTCATTAATTCATAACAGTTGGTGATAGGAGTAATTTAAGTACAACAGTTTAAAATTCATTCTGCCTCTTACCTTGGATTTAACATAGATTTTACAGGAAATATTTATGTAAATATTTTAGAATAGGTCCCAAAGCACATGTATTTCATAATTGAAATGAAAAATGTACTGGGCTTAGATATCTTAATATTTTTCCTCTCTTTCTCTTTTTTCCTTCTTTGAAGTAAAAATAAAGAATATCCATTGGAAAGTTATCCTCCAATCAAATATGAGAAAGAGATATCTGTTACTTCTAAACCAACTAGAATTTGTTGCATTCAGTATTCTGGTATGTACAGGCTTTATAAAATGTACAGTTGTGTCAGTGTGCAGAAAGAAAAATCAAATTTGTGTGACATGCTTTATTATGACTGTGGATTTACTAGAAAAATTCCCAGAAAACTTTCTGGCAATATCATGTACTGTTTGATCACAATTTTTTGACTTGCAAGCTGTTAACACGTATGCAAAAGGATTCTAACTCTTCTCTACTTTTAAACTTTTTCTGAAATTAAATCTAATTTCTCTTTCAATGTCCATTTTGGACATGGTTGCCTGAAATGGATCCACAGTAAAAGGTTAATTGAAAGATTTTCTGAATAGAGGTAACATCACTTTCCAATACCCACCTGGCATTGTACATCTAAGGTCTATTTATGCTTTCTTTTTATGCTATTGCATCAGAGTTGGAGGTTTTCTCTCGCTTATAAACAACCATGACTATTAAATTCTTACTATTTACGCTTTCAGCTATTGCATCAGAGTTGGAGGTTTTCTTTTGCTTATAAACAACCATGACTATTAAATTCTTACTATTAATCCAGTTCCATTAGCTTTTATTTTTAGAGTTTTATATTTACAAGTATTTTTTTGTTTAATTTTTAAGTTACCATATATTGGTTTTAGCAGGTGGTTCAGACTTGTCTGAACAACTGAGAAATCCCTGCTTTACCAGTTTTCCTTCCTACAATGAAATGCAACCATGAAACATTTTTGCAACACTGATCTGCAAAACATTATGGGTCTCATACTTCCCTAAGCTTTTTGATTGAGTAATTTCATCACAGTGGATGGCATTTTATTATTGTAAAGTAGGTGTGAGAACAATGTCCTGTATATGTCAGTTGTCATTGTTCATAATAACTTGATAGTGCCACTTCTTTATAAATAATTCAAAGAATTCACAAATTAAATCAGTCTCTTACAACCATGCATGAAAGTAGTGCAAACCACAAATAAAACTATGCGGAGCACATAAAAGTATTGCAAACTAGAATTGAAGTTGTCTTTCCCCATCTGCTTTTTAAAGTATTTGACTGTTTTGGGTTTGGTTTGGTTTTTTGGTTTTTTGGGGGGGTTTGGTTTGTTTTGTTTGTTTGTGTTTTGTTTTGTTTTATAGTGTTTTGTTTTGTTTTTTATTCAAAAGTATTAAGCCACTGTGATGAGTACTTTTATGCCAAATTTCAGCTTTATATTTTTCCATACCCTTATTTCAACTCTTGTAGTCTGAAGTCACAAGTCAAACCAGTAAATCTCTGCACTCTTATTTAGAAAATGTATTAAATTGTTCTTGTGCTTCAGTCCCAGCTGGCAACTAGAACCATGTGGCTGTTCACTCCATCCCACCTCCCCAGTAGGACCTTCCTGAGAAGAGTAGGGAAAAGAGGGAGAAAAAAAATATCTTGTGGGTTAAGATAAAGACAGTTTAGTGGCACGGTAGCAAAAGAGATTAATAATAATAATAATAATAAAGAATATACAAAATAAAGTGATGCAATGCAATTGCTCCATGATCTGATGCTTTATTGCCCAGCTGGTTCTGAGCAGTGATGGTGGGCTCCTGCTCCCCAGCCAACCCCCGTTTATATACCGAGCATGACATGTATGGAATATTCCTTTGACCAGCTTTTCCTGTCTGTGCTCCCTCTCAGCTTCTATGGGAAGCTGAAAAAGTCCTTGACTTTAAATATAAACATTACTATACAACAACATGTGTTATCTCATGGTTATTCTCGTAGTAAATCCAAAACACAGCAGCTAGTAGGAGGAAAATTAACTGTCCCAGCTGAAACCAGGACATTGACAGTGATGTCTTTTCATTAACTGCATTTTTCAGATTTTTAGGATGGCAACCATTATATTGTTGTAATCTTCTTATGCTTGATAACGTTTTTCTTCTGTGAGGGTGATGACTGAAATTGTAATCAGTTGGTCGACTCTGTTGTGTTTGAAAAGGCTGGATTTCATGACCTAGTTGCAATAGGACTGCCGCTAAGCACAGACTGAGACAGACATCCCAGGCTTGTCTGGTTTTTTCCCCCTTCGTTTTTGCTGGTTTTTCTCTTGTACTTTAACTATGTACAAACACACCTTCAATTTCACTGCTTTTTGTATCTTCATATTACAGGTGGTAAACGTAAGAGCATATGTGGATTTGCCTCTGTTTGAATTTAGTCTTTGTGCATACAGCATCTTTGTGCTACAAACATAAGTATTTTTTGAAGAAAAGTATGTCCTATACTGTTTTAGATTGCTTAGATTTAGATTATGAGCACTTACATAAATCAAGGATTGTGTTCTGTTCTTAGCTTTCAAAACTTCACCATTTGATTGAAACTATTTACTTTGAGCTGCAGATTTAAACAAAAAAAAAATCTGTAAATTAAATTCTTTTGTATGTGTGTGTGGTTTATTATTATTTTTATCCTGGGATTGGGTAACAAGTATTGAAAAAAAAAAACAAAACCAGTTGCTGTGTCTTGTATAGTAATAAGTAAAGCTTCTTTATCATACTCAGATAATTTTTTCTCCCCTTTTAATAGATCTTCTGCCCTGAATACTGCCTATTTTTGGATAGGAACCTCCACTGGCTTGTTAATAATTAATTTGGCAAACTTTGAATTAGAAGGTTTTTTATCTTACAAAGGTATGATAATAAAATATCTGATTGTGATTGCTTTCCTTTGTTATCTGATATAAATTATATTAGAATTAGTTTATGAAATAGCAGAATACAGTAGAGAGTAAGTGGGCTTTTTAAAATATTTTTTCTGATTAATTTTTATATGTTTTTCTGGCATTGCTGACTTGTCTCAGAAGATGTGTTGACACTAGATTTCTGTAGTAGCTAGCAATGAATTTTTATCTGATTTTGCAGTTCAGGAGAGTTAATACAAGGAATGTTACTCTAGTCCTACTTTATAATGTGTGGTTAAGCTAGAAGGATGTAACTCAAGACAGTGGGTTATCGTGGTGTTAAATTACTATGAGTAATTTTTTTTCCTGTTTTAGTGATAGTTTTTTCTTTTGAAATGCAAATACAATTTTATAGCACTATGTTCTTTTTGGCAAAGATCACAGTGACCTCAGCATTCGGTTTGCTGGATCATGTGCACTAACACGGAAGGCAGTTAATGGAAAGGTAAGTATACAGTAAACTGATGTAATGAGTGTTTAAATTTCCAGTTATTTCTGATAAGTATTAATTATGAATTTTGTTTACAGACTAATGTACATGTTTGTTTTGCTCAATGTGAATTAAAGAGTAGTTTCTCTGGAGAGGGTTGATTCTTCTTTATGGAATGTGCTAGTTTACATAGCTGGGTAGTTTTAAAGGTCTCACAGTTTGTGTACTGTCCAAAGTGATTAATAAGCAAAAAGTGAATTGATTTTTATGTTCAGTGTGTGCTTTGAATGTCAAGAGTGACCATTGGGAGAGCAGAGGCAATCTTTTCAGGGAAAAAAGATGCAAGCACTTTACACCTTGTTTCTAAAAAATATATTAGGATGAACTGCTTCTGAACCCTTTCAGGAAATCAGTGAAAACTCTTTGAGTTGTGAGGAAATTTCTGTGGAAAGTCACTAAAAGTGCTTTTAAGGAAGTGTAAGGCATTCTTGCTTGTATACTCCATTTTTTATTTTACATGTTTCCTACAGAAGCAAGCTGATTCTAGATCTTTTTACATAGTTAATATAATAGAGTTTTTTTTTTAAAGTAGGATTTTATTTTAAATTCAGTTCTTAGCAGGTTCTCAGCCTGTCTCTGAAACCAATCTTTCTTCCATGTGTACTTCTTTTCTCACAACTCTAACTGCAGAAAGAAGTCTATTGCAGAAGAGATTGGAATTTCTGTGACTGTTAGGTATGCAAGTCTGTTAAGACACATTTAAGCAACATAAGCCTATTTTTGAAGGATAGCATTAACCACTTTTTACTGGTTAACGCTCTTCAAGACTAAACCCATGTGACCAATTTTCATAAATGACATGATGTGATTTCATTTTCCATTATAAACGTTTCAGTGTTGGGCTAAAATTATGAAGTAAATGAAGTGTTATTTTATGATATAATTGCTGCAGGTTTTATGCTTGATCACCTCAATGTTTGAAGATATGATTGCTGTGTTGGAAGTGAACCTTGCTGGGTTGGTGAGAACTCAGCACAGTGCTTTTCTACTATGTGGAAACAAAAAAAGCCTATCGGTTATTGCCAGGTACAGAGTAAATTTAAATGTGTTTTGTTTTTTTTTTTTCCTCTGAGTTGGATTAGGCATTAGCTTTCCTGACTCTGAAGTGCATCAGATGGTCTTTTACAGTTCTACTTGTTGACATGGGTTTTTTTCAACCTGTTTTCCTGTCATGTTTTAATTGTATTGAGTGGGAGAAATCACAGAATGGTTGAGGCTGTAAGGCACCTCCGCAGGTTGTCTTGTCCAACCACCCTTCTCAAGCAAGGTCACCTAAAGCTAGTTGCCCAGCACCATGTAAAAGTGAATTTTGAATGTCTGCAGGGAAGGAGAATCCATTTCGTCTCTGGGCAACCTGTGCCAGCGCTCAGTCACTCTCACAGCAAAAATATGTTTCCTGGTATTGATACAGAACCTCCTGTATTTCAGTTTTTGCCCATTGCCTCTTGTCCTTTCACTGGCAGATGGCAGAGCCTGACTGCCTTCCTTACAGCCACATACTGGTGCAGAGCGTTCTGCCTCCCCAGCTGTAGGACTTTGCACTTTCCCATGTTGAGCTTCATGAGGTTGCTGTCGGCCCACTTTCCAGCCTGTGGACATCTCTCTGGATGGCAGCACAACCTTCTTGTGTATCAGATACTCCTCTCAGTTTTGTGTCATCAGCAAACATGGTGAGGGTACACTCTGCTTCTTTTTCCAGTTGTTAGAATCATAGAATCATTTAGATTGGAAAAGACCTTGAAGATAATTGAGCCTGGCTGTTCAACTGCTTTTCAATCCATCTTACTGTGTGTTCATCCAGCCTATACTTCATCAGCCTGTCTATCAGGAGACAGTGTGTAAACCCTTACTGAAGTTAAAGTAGACAACATCCACTCCTCTCCCTTCTTCTGCCAAGCCAGTTGGTTGATCAAGCATGAATTCCCCCCTTCATGAATCCATGCTGATTATTACTTTCTTGTCCTTCATGTGCCTGTAAATGATTTCCCGGAAACACTGACATCTTGAAGGCAATAAAAACCCTATGATATACAATTAGTGCTGATTTCAGTGCTTAGAATAAAATCATCAGTTATTATTCACAGATTTATGATTTAACATATAAACGCAATGGCCTGTGAATCTCGTCAGGGTCAGGGCTTATCTGTGCTTCTGGGTATCTGAGCTGATAACTAATCTGCTATGCCTGATTTGTATTTATGAAAATATCACTGGTATCACACATACACAAAAATATCTAAAGAGAAATTTTGACACCTTTTCCTAATCTGATGCTTTTGCCCATTACATTGATTTTTTTATTTGGTTTTATAACTTAGGTGTTCTTTATTGACAAATTCTCCATTGTGTAAAGGTTTAAAGAAAAACTTGAAAGAACCTTCTAATAAAACGTTTGGTAAGTATAAACCAATCTGGAAATTAATTAATAAAGTTGTATTTTTAATAAGAGTAGCTTATTCACAACTGTCTGGTTGCTAATACAATCAATGTATTTTTTTTTGTTTTAAATACATATTGCATTATATTTTTATTTTGGAAGAATTTTGTACTTCTAGTAGTATTTAATTTCCTACATATGTATTGGTAGTGAAAATGATGTTAATATGGTATTTTCCTTCTTCTAATAATAATCCTCTGAGAACTTTCTGTGGATTTTCAAAGAGTTAAATAGTGTAGAACGTTTACATATTTTCATAAGTCATTTTGCATAGCATGCAATATATTTTTCTGTATAATTTGTAATTTCTTTCTTAACTTTGGTTAGCTGTTTTGGTTAATTTTATTATCCTGAATATTTTCTCAATACCTGAAAGTTTAGGAAATTAATTTTTGCCTCAATGTCCTACTGTTTAAAAAAAAAAAAGGTCTGACTTCCAGTTGCTGTTGAAGCACTTGTCGCTTCTTTGCTTAGCAACAGTAAAGCAAAATCTAAAAAACACCTGCAGAATAATATTTCATCATCACCTTTTCTTTAGGAATGATATAAAAGTATTAGTGGCTGTACACATGTAGAAATAATCTATTTTTACTATATCGATGCACTTGTTGGACCTGTTAGAATGTCAAAGTATATATCTTTAGTGTTGTATGATATTTTGAGAACTCATCTGCAGTGTTGTAGCTAGAATTCCAGGCTGCTATAGACACCCAGCACTGATGCCTCTACTACCCTTGCTGACACCTCACGTTGAGATAGATTAGGTGCTGTAAGGAAGTGCTATGGTCTCCTATGGCAAGTGGCACTGGGAGCTTCCTAGGAAGGACCCTTTTCTGCCTCATCGCAACGTAAAGAGAAAGGGTAGTTGGTGGGAGTTGAAGGAGCTTCTAATCTCAGCATAGGTAAATGTGACCGGGAGATCACTCCCAATGCACCTGAAGGTTATTTTCATGGGAATATCAACAAGATTTCCCCCTTTACGCCATTTATTTAATTAGGTTTTTTTCTGCTGATATGAAATGCTCTCATTCAGTTTCGGGCTGGAGGGTGCCCCTCAGGCTTCTTAGTACAACAGTGGGAATGCAGACATTATTAATAACTTAAAACACATAAAACCCCAAATATTTCTGTGTAGCCACCAGCCAGTTTATTAATGATCTTTAGATGCATTCCATCTTCCAAATATGAAGTGTGAATATATTGTAGCTAGTGCACATAAAGTCCAAGCATAAAATAGGCAACTAGAGAACACATTTGTAAATCAATGATGAAAAAAGTTCCTCAGAACAATATTCTTTTTAATTCAAGGTATAAAGAAGTTCCTACTCATTGATATTATTGGAGGATAGATGTTATGCAGTGTAACAGTTCATATTTCTTTTATTTGAGTGACTGGTCATAAATGTGTTTTGTAACATAAGGAGACATCAAATATTTCTACTCTGCAGGCTTAACTAAGTTTCTACTTTAATCTAAAAGTATGTTAAAAAATTTTTAATGAAAAAGAAATCATTTTGCTATAGGAGTGAAAAGCATGGTGAAAGATCAGCCACTGGTTTTCCATAATAAAATTAAATCATCAGGTTATACATCAGCACCACAGTGAGTAGATACATTACTATTTTGTCTGTTTTATTGGTGGGTGAGATTTTGTCATAAAAGAGAGCCATATAGTCTCATGACTGTGAAATTAATGACCCATGAAAAACAGATATAATGTTATCAAAGAAAATAATTTTTAAAATATGTTGTAAAACAAAATTTTCACAGCTTCTGGTCAGTGTTCAACTTCTTTTCAAAATCTATATTAGGCATCCTGTCTCTTTCATATGATTAAGCTCTTTTTATTTCTTCAGCTTGCAGAAAGAAATGTCTGAGAACTTTAAATGAATGGTTTTTGACCTTCAAAATGAATTATCCAACTCACAGAAAGCAACACTTAGGTGCAAACTCAGGCATTAGATCATTAGAAAGTGGTCTTGTCATCAATGTGAACATTATCTTGCCTACTGACATTATTAGTAGACATAAATAATAAAGAGGAATTAGGATTGTTTTTTGTTCGAAATAATTTCTGTAATGAAACATTTAACGTTACATATAGAAGAGTCTATGTTTTTTTTTATAGAATGACCATGTTTTCTCCAAATAATAACCTGAAGAAAAGTGAGGTATCAAAGTGGAAGACCACTTGTAGACGGTAGGTAATCTAGCCACTCTATTAGAGGAGGAACAAATTAAAATGAAGATAAATAGAGTTTTATTGGAAATGTGGTTTGTAGCTGCTTCTTTTATTGGAACTTTTTAGTTAGGAGTATAACTGGAATTAAAAGGCTTTGTAAATTTGCTATAAAATGATTCTAGCAAGTGATTCAGATTATCAGACTGTCAATTAAATTTGAGTAAGTCTTACATGTAAAAGAAAACATACACCTCTATTTTCTTACATTTTGGTTGCTAGAAAGAAGAACAGGTGTTAAATATGGTTGGAAGCATAGTCCCAATGTGTTCTTAAACTGGAATTCAAGTAGCAAAAGCAACTGAATGTGGCACAGGGAGAGTTAGTTATTTCAGATCATGTGCTTCATTCACCCCTAAAATCATGTTATCGTAAGCTAATGCAAGCTTACTCCGATGAATCCACTGGTCAAATTCTACCATTATGTATATTCTGTTTAAATTTATCATCACTGTGGACATAAAGAATTAATAGCTTTTTAGAGCTGGCACTTTCATCTTAATTGGTGCAGTATGTTAAATGGGGACATTACACACATGTTTTCTCTTTAGTATTATATTGAATCTTAGTTTTGTGTAGTACAAATATAAAAGTAAAGAATTATTAATGTTATCATTTTTCTCTTTTTAAAAAAAAGAAAAGTTTCCTAAATACTTCATAGCTCAAGACTAAATTTCTGTAATCCTTGCACACATAGGCAAGCCAATCATAGACTCATAGAATGGTTAGAGTTGGAAGGGACATCATCGAGTTCCAAACTCCCTGCCATGGGCAGGGACACCTCCCACCAGACCAGGTTGTTCAAAGCCCCATCCAGTGTGGGTCTTGAATGCTTCCAGGGATGGGCGATCCACAACTTCTCTGGGGAACCTGTTCCAGTGTCTCACCACCTTCACAGTATAATTTCTTCCTATATCTGATCTCAATCCCCCCTCTTTCAGTTTAAAACCTTACCCCGCATCCTATCGCTACACTCCCTGATAAAGGGTCCCTCCCCATCTGTCCTGTAGGCTCCCTTCAGGTACTGGAAGGCCATAATAAGGTCTCCCCAGAGCCTTCTCTTCTGCAGACTGAACAACCCCAGCTCTCTCAGCCTGTCTTCATAGGAGAGGCACTCCAGCCCTTTGATCATTTTTGTGGTCCTCTGCTGGACCCGTTCCAACAGGTCCATGTCCTTCCTATGTTGAGAGCCCCAGAGCTGGACACAGCACTCCAGATGGGGTTTCACAAGAGCAAAGTAGAGGGCAAGAATCACTTCCCTTGGCTTGCTGGCTGCACTTCGTTTGATGCAGCCAAGGATACAGTCGGCTTTCTGGGCTGCCAGTGCACATTGCCAGCTCACGTCGAGCTCATCCATGAACACTCCCAAGTCCTTATCCTTAGGGCTGCTCTCCAGCCATTCTCCACCCAACCTGTATTTGTGCCCAGGATTGCCATGTCCCAGGTGCAGGACCTTGCATTTGGCTTGGTTGAACTTCATGAGGTTTGCATGGGTGCACCTCTCAAGCCCGTTCAGTTCCCTCTGGATGACATCCCTTCCCTCCAGCATGTCGACTGCTCCCCACAGCTTGGTGTTGTCAACAAACTTGCTGAGGGTGCACTCCATCCCACTGTCCATGCCTCTGACAAAGATGCTAAACAGCACAGCGAGCACTTCAGATAATTTCTAGATTGGTTTGTGCTATTTTATGGTAGGTTGAGCTACTTAGTACTCAGTTCTGTGGGGGTGTCTTTTAGTATCTTGTTAAATAGATCTTCAGAGTAAGTCTCATTTTTACATAAGGAGATATTTTTGATATTGTATTTTGTCACAAAAAGGTAGAATTTGCATTCCTTAAATACTTTTATAAGGTAGGTATGCAACTTAAGTTTCATTTTATATGCAAGTCCATGCTAACTCTTGATCTCATTAATTCATAACAGTTGGTGATAGGAGTAATTTAAGTACAACAGTTTAAAATTCATTCTGCCTCTTACCTTGGATTTAACATAGATTTTACAGGAAATATTTATGTAAATATTTTAGAATAGGTCCCAAAGCACATGTATTTCATAATTGAAATGAAAAATGTACTGGGCTTAGATATCTTAATATTTTTCCTCTCTTTCTCTTTTTTCCTTCTTTGAAGTAAAAATAAAGAATATCCATTGGAAAGTTATCCTCCAATCAAATATGAGAAAGAGATATCTGTTACTTCTAAACCAACTAGAATTTGTTGCATTCAGTATTCTGGTATGTACAGGCTTTATAAAATGTACAGTTGTGTCAGTGTGCAGAAAGAAAAATCAAATTTGTGTGACATGCTTTATTATGACTGTGGATTTACTAGAAAAATTCCCAGAAAACTTTCTGGCAATATCATGTACTGTTTGATCACAATTTTTTGACTTGCAAGCTGTTAACACGTATGCAAAAGGATTCTAACTCTTCTCTGATTTCACATCATGTTTCCTTTTGGATTTATTTTATGACTTTCCCACTACAACTTGAAAATTAGTAGTCCAACAAATTCTTTCACTAAGGAATTTATTTTTTGAGGCATTTACTTAGTGTCATTAGGATATGTTAAAAGCTGAAGTTCTGTTTAAAAAGAATCAGAATACTCCTATTTCTTATGTAAAGATTATTCAGTTTTTGTATATTAAAATATATAAAAAAGAATTCTTTCACATAGACCAAAGAAGGGTATTTTTCTTAACTGCTTTGGAGAAGTTAGTCTTGTAATAGGTTAAGTAATTTCCAATATATAAATACTATACAGAAACTACTTAGATTAGCAATCAAATGTATTACCAAGTATATAATTATGTCAATGTACACTCTGCAAACCACAATACGTTCAAATTATTTATAAATGTGTATTTTTGTAAATATTTTGGTGACAAGAGCAACTTTCATCTTCAAAAAATAAAAAGAATTAGATACAATCAGTAATTTTCTAAAATATATTCCAACCATCTCTTCCATCCTAGAGAAGGGGAAGAAATTATTTTTATGGCTCCTGAAAGAAACTGGTTGCCGAGAGATTATTTCAAGGAATGTTATATGTACTTAAAACTAAAAGTTCTTTTTTAGCAAAAACAAGCATTGCTGTAGTTTTGATAACACGTCTTAAGTATAAACTCTCTCTTACTTTTGGGAAGGAACATTTTTCTCTGTTTCTGTCTTTGTCTCTTGCACACACAGGCTTAAACAATCACAGTTTAGCAAAACAAGGTTTAGCAAAACTTGCAGAGTTGTTTTTTTTTTGTTTTTTTTTTTGTTTGTTTGTTTTTTTTTTCTAGGAGTAAAAAAGTAATTATTGTAAGCTTGTAAAGGGTGTTCTGTTACTGTTGTAGTCTGTATTGACAAGATAGTTCCTAGCTTCACAACGTATGTTCTGTTGCAAGTTTGCAACTTGGAATTGCAGCTTGAAACAGTCTTACAAGTGGTCTTTGTAAAGTACGAATCACAATTAAAAGAGTAATTATTGTAAGCTTGTAAAGGGTGTTCTGTTACTGTTGTAGTCTGTATTGACAAGATAGTTCCTAGCTTCACAACGTATGTTCTGTTGCAAGTTTGCAACTTGGAATTGCAGCTTGAAACAGTCTTACAAGTGGTCTTTGTAAAGTACGAATCACAATAATTAATATGAGCATCTTTAAAAATAGTAGAAAGAAAATTAAATAGAGAACTTAAGTAAAACTTCAGAGGTTATAAAGTTGCACTAATGAGTTAATGCAAACATTAGATTTATTAAACATCCTTTTGTAGTATTAGAGGTGTTGCATATTATAACTTGTGGCTCAGAAAACAATTTTGCTCACGATTTGAGTAGATGTTCCATTAAACAAGCCTCCAAAATTCTATGTAAAATTATTTTTTCTTATTCTGTACACACAAGAAGGTTTATATATTGTTAATTATGTATATATGACTTTATATCACTTACCTGACATACTTAGCAGTTAGGGCTCATGCTAAATACATACTGTCAATACTTTAGGAAAAGTGGGGGAAATCCACAGAAGAGCACCACCCCTTAGCTCAAAGACTTTGAGTTTATGGGGCATGCATTTTTTGGAATATCTTGTCCAGGACTACTTACCTATTTTTGTGATGAAAGTATTTAACAGCGTTATTTAGTATGTGTAATTACTAGTATTTGCAGATAAAGTCAAATGAAATATTGCTTATTAGATAAAATGAAAAATACTGGTGCATCTAATAACTGGTAACAGAGAAGAAGATTCTGGAATGTCTCTTCTCAACATATACGTTTACCCCATTGTATGTCCGATTGAAAAGTAACTTTTAAAAATATAGATGTCTTATCTGTTTATATTGCCATAATGTGGGAAAAAAATCATTTTGTGGAACATAGTGTTCTGAACCTGCAATGTAGATGGTGCTTGGACAGTAGATAGCAATGTGTAACGGTGGTGAAGTCAAACATAACTTTTATTCCCTCTCCCTTTGTAAAGGTGCTCAGGAGATGTATGAAAGCGATGTTCAGTTGGTACCTTTTTAAAGATACTTTTCACAGTGAACCTAGTAGTATTGATTTGAATTCTGCCCTCAATTTCCTTACTTTATCTCTTTGCTATCCTCTCTTGCTCCACTATATCTTATTTTTTCCCATCTGTTCATTTATCTGCTCTTCATTATTTTAATTTTTTTAAGGAAAAATTTTTGAGCAAACAGATTTCACAAATCACTGTCATCATGTAGATGTTAAGGATGTCTTTCCTGTCACTGTGTGCCTCTTGCTGATTACCAATATAAATGAACAATTGGACTGCACTTGGATAGCTTTTAGGATAGCTATATGAAGGAAATTTATTATCTTTAGGAAGTGATCCAGAATGACTAATATGTACTATTTATTCTAATATATAAGAAAAGGTGATGTAGCTTTAATAAGAATATATACAAAATGAGTGTAGGGAAATAGATTTAAATGACTGCTAAAAAATTCTGCCCTTAAATTTTGTAGCACTTTTTTTTCATGAAAAGCAATTTTCTAACTTGTGATGAATAACTGTTTTGAGAATATACCAGGACAAGAAATGAGTTGTGTAAAAATTCATACCAAATTCTGCAATATGAGTTTGTGATGTTCAAACAAAATACATACATAATATGAATTTCTGATATGTGTTTTGTTGCAGTGATGTGTGTGATTTTTATGATTAAAAGAAATAGCATATGAGGTCCTTGTTCCTTTCAAATATAAGTCATTAGACACTCTTCTTTATAGGGGATGGAGAGATGCTGGCTTGCGGCCTGGCTGACAAGGCTATACTGATATTCAATTCCAATCTCACCGATACATGTAATGTTTTTACAGGTAAAATTATCAATTAAATTCTTAAAGAAATAGTATATAATTGAGTTTAACCTAAAATAGCATAGTAATTAAAACATTCTACTTGCATCACCTTAAGAAGAATAGAGGGGAGGGAATACTACTGATTCAAGTTATTTCTCTGGTTGGTTAATTTTTGTTCTGGAGTTAAGCTGCCTGCCAGGTTTTCCCATTTCAGTTTTCTAGGAGGTAAATAGTAATGTATCATGATATATATTGCATCTGCATTGCATATGTAAATTACAACAATGAAATAGAAGAAGTAAAGAAAATATACTGTAATGATAATGTATGCATGTATTGTGGCAATACATTGTAACAGATTATTAGCCAAAAAATTGACTGCGATGATTTGGCAACAAAGGTGTTTGATTTGCAGCTCCAGGCTTCTAAAGACCAATATTTGGAAAAAAAAAAAAAAAAAAAAAAAAAAAAAAATAGTAATGTATCATGATATATATTGCATCTGCATTGCATATGTAAATTACAACAATGAAATAGAAGAAGTAAAGAAAATATACTGTAATGATAATGTATGCATGTATTGTGGCAATACATTGTAACAGATTATTAGCCAAAAAATTGACTGCGATGATTTGGCAACAAAGGTGTTTGATTTGCAGCTCCAGGCTTCTAAAGACCAATATTTGGAAAAAAAAAAAAAAAAAAAAAGAAAAAAAAAGGGACTATTCCTATGGAGAAATCTATTTCTGCAAAAGTGTATGCACATGCAAACAAACACATGTGCATTACTTAACATTGTAAATGAGCCTTAAGAAAAAGAATTCTAAATTTCTACTAAAACTATCTGTTAAATTTGTAATAATAGTAAATGTTATGACTTGAAATTCATATAGCATGACTGATTTACTGTGAAAGTTCATAATGGAAGATGACTGGTTCAGGTTTCTACGCAAATTCAACGTTCAGAGCTCCCTAAAATACAGCAGTGCTCTGCAAATGCTAATTTACTGTGGGAAGAAAAGTGACCTGCAACAAACTTCATGGTGCTACAGGAAAGCTTTTTCTGGTGCTGGTAATTAAGGTGTCAAGTACTAGTTCTTTGTCTTGCTTTAAATATTTTTTTATTTATTACTAAATAGTTCTTCTGCCAGTTGGCTTTATTCTACTAGGTTTTCTTAGGTTTTGCACTACTATCAAATTTATTTCATTGATATTTTTCCTTCTTTATTCTATGTCTTTTTTTATGATACACAGTCTGAAAAGAAGTGTAAACCAAATTCTAGTTCAGGCTCTTCAGGCAATACATGAATTCAACCTGTGCATGTAGTTTTTTTCAAAAGCAACTTAAGTGTGAAATTGTCAGATGCTGTACAGTAGGCAAGTAGGAACCACAAACCATCAGTTACCTTCTTATTTCATTCATGTAGTTCTGTACAGTTCAGATTATTATGAAATCACCTATTTATTTTCTACTTTAGATGCCTTTGGTTTTGAAGAGTTATAATAAATGTATTTTCTTTTCATTAAAACCCATGATGCATTGCTCTTATTCAGAGCTGCAATCAGTGGTAATGTCAAACTTTTCCTTTTCAAGAAACAGCAGATATCTCTCCTACTAAAAAATTTCAATTTCAAGGCAGCACTAGCATCTGAATATAGCTGATTATCAAAAATCACATTTTTATAATGCACCATAAAAACAGCTATTTTGCTATAAGCCTAATTTATTCGGTTTTGTCCCCTGAAGTGCTTGGTTACAGTTTTAAGTAGTTCTGCATTCCTCTTCAGTGTTGGCTTTTCAGGTGTCTGTGTCCTGTAGTGAAGTCTAGGTAACACTGGCCACGTTTAAAAGAGTTATGGCCAGCAGGGCCTTTTTGAAGAAGTATTTTTCAAAACCAACTGCTGTCCTTCTCAATGTGCTTCAAGACTGGGGAACCCTGAGTAACGCCTGTTTTGAAGCTTACTGGCCTCTTGCAAGCCAGCTGGCATCTCCTTCACTGTGCTTTGGGATTGGGGGACCTGGAATACTTTCTTAAGATTCTTAAGCTTTTTGCATAGCCCTTCCAATTTTCCAGACCTCAGATTTTCCTAAAATTTATCATATTCCTTACCATTTTGGAAAACTGTTTTGTGTATTCTGGTAAGTTGTTTTTGTTTTTCTTTAATGCAGATCATTCAAGGATTCCAAATGGTATTACAAAACCAAAGCTTGCAAATAAATCTTTGTGCTGAGAATAAAATAAGTATAGTATTTACATATATACTTATCTAGTACCTGTGCAATTTTATGGTGAAAATTCTACAGGTCTTGGGTAGCAGAGAATTAAAGTATCTTGTTTAGAAGCCTTTTTATAGATTTATGTTATCATAGAAGATCTTAATTGCTGAGATAAATTGATTAGCCTTTCTGTAATTTAAAGCAATCTTTTTTTAATATAAAATATCAGTTGGCTAAAGTGAAAATGTGCACAAGGGGGCAGCATAAGAACTTCAAATCTTTTAAGTCTAGGTGAAATTAATCAGGCTTCATCTGGAAAAAATAGAATAATATGGGCCAAAGTTTGTTAATTTTGTTTGGCATATTTTGTTCTTTTTTAACCTTTTTGATCAGCTTCAATATAATGTTAGAATAATTTTAGCTTCTGAATGATGTCTCTGGCTTTTGAAATTCTTTCTTTGTAATTTTTCAATCTTGTTTTCAACTGTGTGACACCAAACTGGAAAGTCTGTTTCTATTAACTGGAGATTATAATACTTTAAACTATGATTTTTAAACAGGCAGTTACATTTTTTTTTTAATCTAATGAGGCAGTCCTGTAGAAACTGTTGTAGTGGCAGGTTCATTGTGTTTTTATAAAACCAGCTAGCTCAGTAATAAAAGCCCAATGAATAAACTACAGTATTGCAACTATTTGCAAGTGGTTTCCTGATCATGTTTGATACTAAATTTCATTTTAATACAATACTCAGATTTGTTCAAGTAATACTGTAGCTTTTCTTAAATTGAATTTCAAGGATGTTTCTTGAAAATGCTCCTCTAATAACTTTAAAAAAAATAGTCAGAATTATCATCTTATAAATTAGATTGGTAATTCTTTTGTAACTGCTTACAATTTGTGTTTTAAAACACTGAATTTGACAAAGTAAAAGTCAGGTGTGCTGTTGCTGAGACTAGTTTGCCATAGCTCTGGTGAATTCCTTTACTACTTTATGTGTTAAAATCCTTCTGGATGTCATTAGCCTTACCTTCCTTCCTTTTAAAGCAGCATCTCATCAATTACATTGTCTTCTACAATATATGTCACTTTGCAGCTCTGGCATTCAAAGTGAAGTTCTATGAAGCCTGATTCAGTTCTTGAAGGCCTTCGATGCTAGAATAACCATTTTCAGCTTGTTTGTTTGTTATGTATCTCTTTAGAACTATTTAATAGTTCTAGTTGAGTCAAATCTGAATTGTAGACAGCTGAAGAAAATTTAGATTTTATCCTTTTAGAATCTGAATGCCTATAAAAGATAAATGTGTCTTGTATATTTGTTATAACATTTTCATACAAACTCCCTTACAGCAATGGAGGCAATGTCGTACAAATACCTGTGAGATTTCAGGTAGAATAACTTGGTATTTCTCTGACCTTATTTAATTTTGTGAATCTTGACTATTAATGAGAGACATTTTTCCATGGTTTTTGGTGGAAGAAAAAAATTAATAACTGGTTTGCTGTTATCACTTTTAATCCAACAATTTGAAACCTCTATTTAAAATTTCCTTTAATATTGTGTATAATTATGTTAAAACAATTTGATTAACTCAGGGAAATGTATAAATGCAAGAAATGAGCTTTATGATATTTCCATTATAATTTTTATTAGGTCATGATGGTGCAGTTAACTCTGTTGGCTGGAGTCATAACAAGAAGTGGTTAGTTTCTACATCAGAAGACAGAACTTTAAGGGTCTGGTCAGTCTGCAAGAATGAATCTGTCCTAATTCTGGTAATTAGAAACTCCTGTCAGTTTGGTTCACAAGAGACACTGTTTTGCACTTTCAACTCCTTCATTTTAACAACTCTGTAGAAGGAACATACCACCTGATTTTCAAAGCTGCTGAGTGGTGGTGATTCACACTGATACTATGATCTGAGTGATCTCCATTGACTTCAAATTAGGCTGTTATCATGGCAATTTATGCAAAGAAAAAAGCCCAATCTTGGTAGGCAAAACTAGTGGGCATGTCTGAAAGTTTTGGTTTTATTGTCTGCTCTGTATATTCTGTTTTCATTGGCTCATCTCTGCTTGAACTTATAGTCTACTCCCAAATTCAAAGTGGAAGCTTAGAGTATGAAGATAGATTTTATTAGATATAATTGACTACAGATACTATTAACTTTACTGCCAACTACTTCAAGTAGAACTAAAATTTTATTTTGAGATTAATAGATGTCAAAAATAGGAAGGGCCACTACATAGTAGGTTAACTTCCTGGGATAACAGTGAGACTAGGCCTTAATACCAGGAATCTCAGACAAAAAATATTCAGTATTTTAGAATCCATTATTAATAATTGACTTTGCATTTTAGGGTAAAGAGAATTTCCATAAGACTGTACGCTTTGCACAGTTTTATTTTATAGATGAATTTATATTGCTGTGTTGTGGAGCTGAATTTCATCTATTAAGTTTCCACCTCGACACAACCAAGGATGACCTCAAAAGGTGAGTAAAATTTCTCAGTAACAGTCCAGTGAAAGTACTTGTACTGTTTGATCTGGGATTTTCTTGGGGGTGAGGTGGTGTGGGGTGGATAGGAAGAATGTTACAGAAGAAAAAAGTTGAACAAATAGTAAAAGCTAGTTGTAAAAAATATCTTTGTTCTGGCATAGTAGGGGAAAAAAAAGAAATGTCAAATTAAGTTTTTATAGTGCATACCTTATCTAGCAAATAGAGTTTTACTATTACTCTTACCATTTGGAACCTTATGAGCTTTATGCTCTACCTGTTTACATCTTAGTGTGCATTAATGTCTTAAGTTACATTGGAGAAGCTATTGCAATTATTTCTCTTGTGGAATTATTTCTATATATTTTTTCTTTCAGAGACTCCAACATGCTATGACTGTTTTCTTCCTTCTCTGTCGAATGGAAGTAGATCACTTTCATAATTGTCACTGACTTTCCAACTGTTGTATTTTATCTAGTTACTTTTTTATTATCCTATTTTGTCCCTAAGTTTCTTCCTTGTTAGGCATCCTTCTTTCTGGCTTGGAATAAATTATTTTATTAAGTGTCTGACATACCTTTTCTGTTCTTTTCATTTATAATTGGAGCTGAAACTGTCCTTGTATCCTTTTACTAAGTCTCTCTGCTCTTCATTTGGTTTTGCTGTTTTTCAGCAGTATTTGTGCATATAAGACTTTATTTATTAAAATATATATATGTGCACATATACATATATATGTTTAGACAAAATAGCATTTTAAAAAGCTTTGAAGATATATTTTTCTTTGTTTGGTATTATGACTTTATATTTTGAGTTAATTTCCCAGCATTTCTTTCTTTTACACAACATTACATCATCCCTTTTGTTTCTCACAGCTCTTTCATTCTACCTTCTAAGTCGAATTTGGAAGAATGCTTGTATAGAACTGATTCAAGAAGATACTATATCTAACCCCAAAGCATGCTTTATACTTTTAATTAGAAGGATGTGGTAATGCAGTCTCTCTAACCAATAGATTGTTACTGCATTTCAGAGATGAAAACAGTACAATGAGAAATCATATCATTGTTTCTCTGCACAGAGTTTTCAAAGAACTGCCAATAAGTATTAATTAACTGAGCATCACAGCAACTTGAATCAATATTTAACTATTTAATTAATTTTGAAGGTGAAACTAAGAAGTGGAAATAAGAAACATAATTTTATATTCCTTATTGCCTTATTTAAATATATCCTTATTTACAAATGCCATAGAGGAGATTAATTGTAGTTCCGGGATAGAATACAGGTCTCCTGAGTTCTACTTCTATGATTAATCTCAAAATGATTCACAACGTAAACAAATTTCCTTACCTTCTCCAAAATTATTAACTATTGAATTTCCACTCTCATCAGCAGTTGTGCATGCCTGATATGAAGTGTAACTATTTGTTTCTCAGTTTATTTGTTGTAATTGTTAATTACTTTTGAGTTACATAAGAATTTGAGCAGAAAAAAACATCTATGAGTTATTATCTCATTTTATGGTTTTATGTATTGTTTCAAAGATCAGCATGACAAATTTCAAAGGAGTTTAATAAGGATAAAATTGTGTTCCAGCAACAGAAACAATGCCTTTTAAAACCATTATATTTATAACTGGTTGTAGTAATTATGCATACAGTAAGGGAAGTAATGATAAAATATCTGCTCTGATGAAATGAAAAATTATACCAGCATATATTATGGATGGATAAAGCATAGGTCATTGTAAGTGTGTTTAAAATTTAACATGCTGATGATACATAGGAGAGCATTCATTTCAGGTACTTCTGGAAAGTCAATGTTCAATTTCTTAAGTAAATGGGCTGCACAGACTGATTCAGCAGCTTGGCTCCTTTGAGAATGGAAACTAGATGAGAAGTACATAAGTCATAACAACATTCTAACAGCAAACATATCTAAATGCTTTTAATTTTCCTGTGCTTATCTTTTCTTATGCCTATGATTCATTACATAGGGTCAGGGAATGACATCCATTCCTCTGTAATGTGAGAGAATATTTTTCAGAAGATGAAGTGATTCTTTTCCTTTTCATGTAACTGATTTTCTTGTTTTACTGAACTCCAGGCTTTGTCTGGAAACATATAAAGGCACTACTGTTTGAAGATTCATTTTTACAGTCCATGTAAAAAATTTTTTAATAGCCTGAAACCTTATGATCTGTTATATTGATGATGTTTGTGGTCTGTCACTTAGTTTTGACTTTGTCATGTGCAGCCATTTTCCTTAATGTTAAATGTCAGATCTGCATCAAGGTGGTTTTGGAGGTTTGGAAGGGTTTTTTTAGGTGTTTATTCATCTTTTGGTTTTAGCACAGTAACATACTTCCATTCATTGAAGTTTTCTGTCAGTCATCAAATTTTTTTTTACTTTATCTGGGTGTCCTGAAAAATGTTTTTAGCAAAGTAGTTCAAATCTTCTGCTAAGTAGACACATTAGTCTTTGCAATCTTTGCAGGAAGTGTTTGTACCTTAGAATTTGGTTTTATATTTTATTTCTGAAGATACACCATTCTCCTGAAAAGAATTATATACTGTGCAAAAGCATTCCCTCAAAATTATTACATCCCCACATTATCCCAAGATATATATGATATCGCAAGATAAATCTCAAGTATATCTCTCAAGAGATTAGTCATTTACACTGTTGTTGGAATTCTAATAATTGAAGGCAATAAAGGAGGACGGAATTGTAGTTTTGAGTATATCGACACAAATGTGATTTATTTGGGTACCTAATCTCTGGGATTGTCAACTGAGATTATTTGCTGTGTGTAGAATTGGAGACACAGAAAAAATATAGTAAGAAGATATCATTCATCTATTTCTTTGCCTCCATCACAAGCTTTTCTGTGGCTTGAGGAGGTGCTGGTCTAATTTAGACAAACTTTAGGGTGCGTTTGTGCTACAACCGCCTCTCCAGTTGACTTGTGAGATGAAATTTTGCCTATATTCACACTCTTGGTCTTCAACTGTGCAATATTTTCTAGTGCTTGTAGTGTTTTGTAATAGCTGAGAACAACTTCACAGCTGTCTGTGACAATGTGTTCCTATTGGAGACCCTGCAACAAAGGAATTACTTTAGCTAATGGCAGACCATCAAATTTATCTGTGGAAAGTGGTCAGATCCAAGATAGAATTATTGATCTAGTTGTATAAAATTTTGTTTTCAGAACTTGCTTCTGATGGGAAAATAAAAATCTTTTTTCTTTCCTTTTGAAGATTTCTTATCTTATTTGTCATTATCTTTTTTTTTTTTTTTTTCTTACAAGGTAACCTTTGTTATATTCACAGAAATCTATTGATTTTCTGCAGACAAAAACACAGTTATTTTGCTAAATGCACCTTCTTACTGATAAATTGTAATATCTTTCAACAATCTAAACCCCTTTTTCTTTCTGTGCTTACCACACCTTTATCTTGATAAACATTACAACACCTTCTGACCTTGGCTGGATTAATCCCTCTGATCAATTCCTCAGCAAGCCCTTTGTAAGATATATAATGATCTTTTCTGTAGGAAACAGGAAATTATTTTAACTTAAGATGTGAATTGTGCACTTTTGCTTATGTTTTAACATAGATTTTTATTCTCAAAGTCTGTCCTTATATATTACAAGTGAATGGCATTTAAGCTTTTGCCTTGTGTCTGTTTGAATTATGTAATGCCATTCTTTAATAATCTGATTACCTACCTTCTGGGTTGCCTGTTACTTCTTAGTTAATAGAGGTATTATTAAAGCAATAAAAAGGTAACCCAAAGTGCTATATGAACTTTAATCTCTAAAAGCCAAGAACTAATGTACATTCTCCAGCTGAGTGTGTCTGTAACACCTGGCTGAATTTTAGTTGACTTGCACTTGGACTTGAACATGTATAGGACGTGTGGAAAATGCATTGTGTCCAAAAAAATAAGGTCTTAGATATACTAAAATTCCCCCTTTTTTCTTTTTTTTTTCTTTTTTTTTTTTTTTTTTTTTTCCCCCCTCTGTTACTTTGGTTCAGTTTTTCCTAACTTGTATTTGATGAATTTCAGTTTACTATTGGTTGAAGATTTGCTTTCCAGGTGAAATTCTATCTGGGTAGCACCCTGTCAGGTGTTTATCTATGTAGCAGACTACAGTGCAGAGGGGAGATACTTCAACTAACTAAAACCAATTGTTTTTGCATTTGGGAGCAGTTTGTTTCATTAAGCCTCTTTCAGTAGGGTACACTAGTTAAAAGTGTAAAAGTTAAAATTACCCCAAAATGGAGATAAATTAGTTGTTCCTGAAATCTAGAACAGTTTACTTACTCTTATTGTCTCTATATGGTGTTTCTGTTTTTTGATCATAGGTACTTGACAGATTTTTTTTCCTCTTCAACATTTTCAATATACAGACAAGGTTATTTTAGTGTTTAATCTTGATGGAAGATCTATCTTGCAAATACTGTTTTCTTTTCATCCAAATGAGTTTAGTTACCAAGTTTTTAATAGAGTTCAGCAACAAGTCAAAAGGTCTGTGGCTTTGTGATTTCAATGGGAATTTACTGGTGGCCACAAATCATAATTTATTTAATTAACACTAACATTCATTTAATATTTGTTTTTTTTTTCAGATACAAACAGAGAAGTGTTTGCAAATTGGTACAGAAATTTCCCATGGCTTCAACAATGGAGATTACCAGCCTTTCAGCAGTAAATGATTTCTATTCTCGTATCCTTTGTATTTCTTATTTTCTTTGGAATTAATGATAGGAAAATAATTATAAATTAATTAGTGTTTGAGTCTTTAGTACATTTTTTTTTTTTCAATTAGAGTAAAAATGCTGTATTTTTTGTGATAATGAACTTCAGCCTTGGACATAAACTTTTTAGCACTGTAAGATTTTTGGTACTGCTCATTGAGCACTAAATGCAACAGAGTCTCGATGTCTTTTTCTCTATCTATATGCTTTTGTTTCATTGGATCAGTTTAACTTTAACACAGAGAACTGTACAGATATTGTACTTACAGCTGGCAGCAACCGAGCATTGGAAGTTTTTGACCTCAATGCAGGCTGCAGCACAGCAGTGATACCAGAAGCTCATACTAGATCAGTCTATCAGATCTGCCAAAATAAGGTATATGCATTATTGAATTTTATTTGTAGTGCCACTACAGCTCCATCAATAAAGAAATTGGAGACTAAAAATATAGTTGATAGTAATTGATAGTTATTTATATGTTGGGAAGAACGGGTGAGGTTGTAAGTGTGTGATAAAGGTACCCAGAATCTCATTTGTTCTCTAGGGGGAAGCAGTGAACAGTGAGAATGACTGAACAAGTTTACAATTAGGGAAGTGTATATTACCCTTTGTCTTACTTGTGCCAGACTGTAATACTGTAGTTCAACAGGAACTTTTCTTTATGCAGCTGTTCTCTAAAGTTGAATCAGTTCATCTGATTTATTCTGAAACTTCAGAAAAAGCAACAAAAAAAAATTGCACAGTACTGCAGTAGAATAAATTACTTAAACCCCTTCATCCCTGATTTTTTTTTTACCTGAAGATTGATTTGGTTTTTTGGAGATCTTATGATATTGTACATGCTGGAATGGCCACTGTTAGGTTTGGTTGAGTATGGTTCTTCATTTATAGTTGTAAAGTCCTTGCTTTTGTGGGTTTAAAACAATTCCTTTTGTATAACTCTCTGTGGGTTTTCCTGAGACATGTGATCTGGTAAAACACTTAAAATTGTGCAAACTATTTCAGTACCATTTGTAACACATACAGGCTTAAAGTTCTGGCTTTTCTTTTTGCTTGGTCAGCTTAGTGGCTTCAGGTTATTTAATCAAGAAAAACTTTAAAGCTGTGGGCAAGTATTCACTTTGGTAAAAAACAAGAGGTATGTGGTATAGCAAAGAAAATGGATAATTTTTGGGGAAAATTATAGATCAAGGTTCCCATTTTTTCAGTTATATAAAATTAATATTGTAGATAAGTCAGTAGGAAAATTGCATATCAGGTATTTTGCTATGCTTCTATAGTTTAAAGCTGTTCGAGTAAATATAACTTAGTGAATTTACATTAAGATAATATGCTTATTTTATAGACTTATAAAAACATGCATAATGCCGTGTGCAAATTACCTCCTGTTTAAAGTGTGAAACACATTAGAATATAAAGTGAGCTATTAATGAGGGGTAGTGCAGTAGAAACAAGTCTGTGGAATGGAACAGTTGATGCTGCAGATTCAGTACCTACATAACCAAATTTATGAAGGCTTTCCTTTGGACTGGTCCTAGTCTTGTCTTGTGGGCTGAATGCTCATTAGTGATTACAATGTATATATTCTTGAAGTGCATTTTCTGGTTTAGATTCATGCAAATCAGTTCCCATGTTCCAAGACTGCTCGGTGATGCTACCTGGACAGTAGTAAGTGGCAATGATCAGGAGATTTGTTCTTTAAATAAATAAAAAAAATAAAATCTATTTGGAATTCTTGTATAACACCAAGGCAGACATTTTTCTGATTAAGTGTAGGAGAAACCTTTTAGCAAATCATTAAATACATAGAATGTTCTAGAAACATAGGTGAACAGCGTGACATTCTGTTATTTCTGGATTTGGACAGCAGCAGCTGTAAGCAAGTATATATAATCTGCAATGTATTGACTTTGATTTTAAATTGTTTTTTTTGGTCTATTCTAGAGATTGTTTGCAAGAATTGGCAATGTGTGAAATCCATCTCAACTGGGAGTGTACTTGATTAGGCATATTGATGAAATTATTATATCATTTGGAATATGTTCTCTTCACAGCAGACATTGTCTGATGTATAATAGAACAATGTTCTGAATCTTCCTCCAGAACAGCTTAGCAGGGAATATTGCAAATATGTGCATATATGTATATTCAGATAAAAGATTTGGCTGCACTGACTCTTATAAAGTATATGTCTTAGATGATGATGGGGTGGGACACACAATTTAATGGATGTCTGTAATTCCTATTTCCTTTTAGAATTTTAGTACTCCAGAAGTGAAAATACATTTAGATGATAATAAGTATTGCTATGTCTGTGTCACTTATTAATCAAGAAGCATAGACAGGGAGTGAAAATTACATAGACTTGTCATATTACTTGTGCATGTAAGTTGCAGCTAAGTCAGTGTTTCTGTAAAGATACAGATTATCTGCATGACGCTACAGAAATTTAGAATGTACTAAGGGAAAAGTCCAGAAGAACATTCAAACTTTTAAATCAGCTGGATCTAAGAACTGGTTGCCTTGCTTTCTTGTATTATTTTGAAAATATCTCTCTCTGGCCTATTAAATAAAATTAATGTAGAAGTATTCTGTCCATCAAGAATGAAGAAATGCTTGTTTTGCTTATCAAAATCTGCAGAAATTGCAAGGAATCCAGAGTAGAATTCTTTATAGCTGCTCCTCTTGAAATCTGCCCAAAACACACTGGCTACAATAATTGAGTTCACCTTCCCCTCATTCTCTAATGACCATAGGTGGTCAGAACCATCACTTTATGTTTACTAGAGTATAGCGTATCCCTTGTAGCAGTGGCAGTTCACCCAGTAATGGTATGTTGAAGATGATAAACCATCCTTCTGAATCATTACTTGCCGCAGCTTATCTTTCTTTTGTAAGTTAACTGAAGGAATAGCCAAATATCTTAATGCTACCCTGTTTGAAAACCTTAAATTTCGCAACAGTAATTGAAAGTAATGTATGTCTATATATACACACTGAATATATATATGTATGCTAATAGATGAATAAATATTTTTGCACTATCCTTTTCCATCTATAGTATTTCAGTGACTTGATTGTGTTTTCTTCACGTCTTTCTTTATATTTTACAGTATTCTGTGTTGTGAATTTTTTTTTATTTTGTCAATATCAGGGAAGGGAAATCAGAGCAAAAATGTAGCAAGCGTCTCACAGATAGGAGATAGGTAGTCTGAAACTTATAAAAAGGCCATTTTAGAGCTAGATTTATAAGGCTGTGACAAATTCTAAGTATTGTATGAAGATAAACAGTTGAAGGAGAAGAGGAAGCTGGGCAAAATCCTAACAGAAAGAAACTCACACAGGGAAGAAGTTTCAGTCAGTGAACGCTTTCCTAGCCATAGTGACAAACCTGTCTGAAGGGATGTGCTTGCCTGGAAGATGTGGAGTCTTTTCTGAGACATCTATAGACAGATGCCTTTAGCATAAGCCAGCTGATGTGTTTGGATTATATCAATGGTGTTCATATGGCATTAGTGAATGAGACAGGGATTCTGTTGAACCATGTCCTTCTTGAGGCTAAATTTTACGTGCAAGTTGCAATGCAAGTTAGTCTAGAGAGAAGGTGAGAAGGGATTACAGTGGTGTATGAAGATGATGATGGGGCATGGGCAAGTGAGTAATCTGTCACAATTTGAAGAGTGTGCTGCAATATGCTCCTTCCAGCATTCGATTATCATAAATTATAGATTATCATAAATTGACAAACTATGAAACCACAAAGTGATAAATAGAATTAATCTTGCGTATTATCCCAACTAGTATATGTTTTCTTGTCTTCTACAGCAATATTCAGCAGTGAATGTGGTTTGAAGGTACAAGTATAGCTGTGTACTAGTGAAGTGTATTACTGACAAAACGTCAGGAGAGGGAAGGAACAAAAGGAATACCCTTATTACCCAAATTACTGTTAGTGTATTCTACAGTAAAGGAGTAGTGCATGAAGTTAATGTGTGTGTATTTGTAGACCTTTTTGTATTGGACTCTGATCATTACTAACTGAAGAGAGGGACGGTGAGTAAAAGTTTCAAAAACACAGAAAGAAAGGGTGCTCTGTGACTTTTAATTAATACTATCCTTTGGACAACTACTCTCTCTTTTACAATTACTCTTTTTTAATAGTTATACACAGCTAATGTAAGAATGTGTAGACTTTGATGGGAAATTTGTTGCACAGTGCCTTTTAGTTCATCTGTTAGAGCAGCCTGTGGTAATCCTTAGTTTAGGAAAGAAACTTGCTTAAGAAAAGTAAGTGTTTATTTTTTAAATGGACTAAATTCTTCACTCAGAGGGTGGTTGATCACTGGAACAGACTCCCCAGAGAAGTGGTCACTGCACCGAGCTTCTCAGAGTTCAAGGAGTGTCTTAACACTCGCTTAACAACGCTCTTAATCATGGTTTAGTTTTAGGTAGTCCTGCGAGGAGGAGGGAGTTGGATTTGGCAATCTCTAAGGGTCCTTTCCAACTTGAGATATTCAATGATTCTATATTTAGCACCATGACAATAGCTTTCTGAAACTTGATTTCATATTTTACAGGGGTCATCATTCAGCACTCAGCAACCTGAAGCTTACAATCTTTTCATGACCACAGCTGCCGGTGATGGCATCAAACTGTGGGATTTAAGAACACTGAGGTAAGGCTGAATTAAGTACTTCGGAATAAAAAGCCATGTTTTATCTTTACTCAGAATTGTCATACTTGTTGTGATATACCAGTAGAAATTTGAATGTGGAATCAGATCTACAGTCAGGCCTTTAATAATGAAAATTAAAGGCTAATTGGAATTTACTATTTTAAGAGACCAAAAAAATAAATGCTGGTTCCTCAGTTGTAGTTAATTATGTGGAAGCCATTAAGTGGTCAAGATTTATCACCCATGTCTTACCTGCCTTTGTAGATCTAATTGTATATATAAAACAGTATATTGAAATGAATGCTAATGGTATTTCCAAACCAGCATGTTATTACTGCTAAAGTAGGTAAAATTTATCATCCAGCTTTAAAAATACTAATGTAATTGCAACAACATTATTACAACTTATCTATGTAGTGCTATAAATTTGCATAGTATGTTATCATAAACTCAGAATAATAATGCTACACTTTTTCTAAAAAACTTTCAGTGTTGTACTTGAGAAAGCTGTGGGACAAAGGGAGACCGTGGTGGGGAGGCAACATTGCTCAGGAAAGGAAATACAATGTTGTGTGTGCTAAAAAAAATGTTTAAAAGAAAGGTTTAGACAGAGAGGGTATTTAAGTTTTAAATAATAATTTCTTATTTGCTTTCTATGTGTCCATAAACATAGATTTATTGAAGGTTGTAATATAATTTTTCTAGTACTAAATTTTCTGTTTAGGAAATGCTTAATGATCCTTTCATTTGTTTCCATTTTTCTGTGGTAAGACTACATTAAACCTATAGGGGGCATATATGTTCTTGCCAAAACCATTGCTGTATTACCTGCACTGAACGTCAGAAAGTAATGAAACTAGAGACTACTAGGTTGGAATCTGTTACCTTCTTATGTTTTTCCAATAAGCTGCTCAAACTGTGTTGCTGAAGAGTAATGAAAATGTAGAAAGCTTTTCACAGATCACTTATCTGTCTCTTTGTTTCTAATAAGTAGAGCAGGTGAATGGTAAAATAGTTAAAGTGTAAAACCTGGGCAATCAATTAAATTAATATGTCTTGGGAAGAGTGGAATAATTTATGTATGTTCTTGCTCTGTATTTAATTTGGCAAAGTTGTTGTATTCTAGTGTCCACTGAGTTCTATTAATCAAACTTCAAAAAAATTAATTCAAGTCCTTATTGACATATATTTTAAGGGTGATTATTAGGTATCATGTATATGTGTGTGTTTGTTACACATTACACAATGATCTATGTTAGTAAGTGTTGTGGAGAAGAAATAAAGAAAATGTATCATTATTTTTCACTTGCTAGTAACTTTGGGGGAAAAAAAATCCAATTTTTAAAAATTAAATTATCTCACTGCTCAAACCAGAGATTGAGTCTTCTGTATTTTAAAATCTATTCTTGAGTTCTCATAAAGGAGAAATCTGTTCACTTTTTCCTAATGTGTTCACCAGGTGTTTTTCACATAAATAAATTTGAAATGGCTGAGTTTGGAAAACTCTATCTGAAGTTGGAACAAGTCTCCACTGAAGTGTTAGGTCTACTATACAGTTACACAGACTGAAAAATTTTGCTGGTTTTTTTGTTCATTGGGCTTGTCCAATCAAATCCAGTCCATCCCTTGCACTGTTGGGTGCTTACAGGAGAGATTGGTTTCTAAACAATCTTATGTTGGGCCAGTACCTTTAATCTCTTAAAGCTGTTGATTTGTAAAGTTGGTGCATCAGCCATTACTCTGTTTTGAATGGTCCCCCTGGAACGACCTCTCTTTATTTCTGCTTTGGGTTTGCCAGAATAGGGTTTGTTTAGTGAAATCTTTGTCCAGTGTTCTTGAAATATAGAACAGGTAAGTCTACCTTCTCATTTATACTCTTTGCAGTGTTGTGGATAGTAACACTAACTACTGCAAGATCTCAACTTTATTGTTTGTTGATTTTATTCTAAATATTTGCCCTAGACATCTACAGTGAAAAATATTTTGTTTTTATTTAATCTGCTTGTTACCCTTAATGAGTTCTATCCACTGTTACTTTATTTAATAATACTGGAAAGTGTGAAATTATGATTAAATAGGAAAAAAACCCTCCAGCATGGTGCTCTTGAAAGCTGCAGTTGAAAGCATGGGAAATACTTTTCTGAGTAACTGCACAGTTTCCCTGTGACTCTTACTTGTTTCTTTTATTCAGTTTCTTTGATGTTTTTTTTTTTTTTATTCTTCTGACATGCATTCCTTTTCTTATAATTGACTGATGTATCATAGCAGAATGCTATGGTTTGGTTTTGGTCTTTGCTTAGAGTAAGTCTTCAGACATGTTATCCTGGCCTGCAGCTTTATAGGTTTTGAATATACCGATATTTTTTTCTCTGAGTTCCACAAGAATTTTTCCAGTCAGTCTGTATTATCAAACTACTTTTTTTTTTTTTTTCCCAGTGAAAATTCATTTAACTTATCTTTACTTTTGTTCTTGAAGTTGATGAGAGTATTTTGTCACTTTCATTTTCATCAGCCTTACTAGATAAAGCTGTAAATCTGTCTGTCTCTTTCACTATTGATGATCTGGAGTCATTCCAAGCTTGCTTCAGAGAATGCCAGAAAGTCTTATGGGCTCCTCTGAAGGTGGTACAAGAAAAGGCATTTTAACTTTCTGATGTTGTCAGCCAACCTCACACAGCCAGGTCATCTTGCCAATAAATGAGGGAATCTTGGACACTGCTGGACTTGGACACTGCTTGTGACTTTTGGATTTACTCAGACTCTTGCTTAATTTGCTTTGAAATGCATGGATTTGTAAAATTTAATCTGAAGATTCTGAATATTTTTTTATTTCTCCTTCTAATTTATAACTATAGCTAAGAAAAGCTCCAGACAATCTATAAAGCAGACTTATGAATAAAAAAAAAAATCAAGAAGAATGGATCTTTCTGTAAAAAGAACTAATTCTGGTTACTCTTTCTCCAGCTTTGGATAGTAAACTATGAGGTTTTATGAAAACATGGATCACAGTAAGATAATGGCCTTTGACCAACTTCCAAGATGTGAAGAACAACTTCAGTTTATCTTGTCTAAAAGAATGGCTAGTTGGAGAACAAGTGAAAATACTTTTTCTTGGATCCAAGGTGGAAACAGTGAACACAGGAGTTAGACTGAGGTGCGATGGGAACCTGAATGAGCCCATCACAGTTACCAGCTTCAGGATTACCAGGAGACAGACAAACATTTAATGATCAGGAGGTACAAAGGGTTGATACATGCTTACATTTTTTTGGAGGAGCTTAAGTGTTCTTAATGATGAAACATTGTAGACTCTTAATTGTCTGTAAGATACAAAAAACTTTACAATTCTACCTCCTTCTGATGTCTCTTTGTTGAATGCAATTTAGAGACACCACAACTCTCTCTGAAGTCAGGAATCTAGCAATAGGCATCTTGTACCTATTGTCTCTGCTGCTTAATCTTAATCTTTTGGGCAAGACAGAATTAGATATTAGCTAGATATATCAGAAAATTCCAATACACTAAGCCTCCTCATCTGCCAGTCCTGCCTGGTTTTAGTGACTATGTTGATGAACATATAGGGCAGATATATTTCAGCATCTTAGTATTGTAAAACCAATGCATATAGAGTGTAGAAATTTAGGAATAATTAGCAGTGTATCCCAGGGGTCAGTACTGGTTCTAATCCTGTTCAACATCTTCATTAACTATCTGGATGATGGGGCAGAGTGTAGCAAGTTTGCTGGTGAGACAAAACTGGGAGCAGTGTCTGGTACACTGGAGGGTTGTGCTGCCATCCAGGAGGACAGCAGTCTGGAGGAATGGGCTGACAGGACCTTAATGAATTTCAACAAGGGGAAGCATGAAGTTCCCTTGGCACCAGATGCACCCCCCAGGCACTGCTTGGGGGAGTGACTAGCTGGAAAGTAGCTTTGCAGAAAAGATCCGGGGGTCCTGGTGGACACCAAGTTGAACTTGAGCCAGAAATGTGCCCTCATGGAAAAGAAGACTAATGATGTCCTGGGCTGCATCAGGAGGAGCGTTGCCAGCAAGTGGAGGGAGGTGATGCTTCCCTTACGTTTAGCATTGGTGAAGCCATGCTGGCTCTATGTGAGCAGGGAGGTTGGATAAGACAAACTCCAGGACTGCCTTCTGACCTCAACCATGATGTGACTGTGATTCTATGAAATTAGTATTTGCTCTTCTTTCGACAGAAATATAGAGATGAGATACTTCCTGGGAGAACTGATGTAATGTTGAGTAAGAGAGCAGGACAATAACAGTTGAAACTGGGAATTAATGTAAAAGGAAGGAATGGGACAGTTGTGCTATGCTGTCAGATGGGCTCATTGTCTACTGAGAGCTGAAGAGAGCAGGGAAAAGTTATTACTGCCCAATTTAGAGGTCTGAGCTGCTATTATGGTAGGTATGGGGAGGTATGTGACAACTGCTAGATTACTGTTGCACGTAATAAGATTGGCAGGTGCCAAGTGTTGGGACACCACACACTAACCTCTTTAGTGTCAGGACCAGCCTGACTCTGACTCATACTCTGAACAGTTGAGGAATAGAAGTTCCAATGTTCTAATGCTGTTTGCTGCTGAAATAGCCATTCCTCGTCTCTTTATGTAAAAAAAGCACTGGGTGCTTATTGGACCGTAGTGAAGATATTTGAAGAATATTGGACTACTTGGGCATACTGAATTTCTTCTGCAGAATACTCAGATGCATGATAATGCTTTGATGCACCATCCCAGGAAAAAATCAGTTTCACCCTCTTTCAGCCTCTGAAATGATTTGCCAATTCTACAAAGATAGTTTTAACATTAAGGTAAAATCTCCAACTAGTATTATGATCCTATGCACCTAGATCATAAGCTCCCCTGGCAACTTATTTTAGTAGAATTCCTGCAGCCACATGGAACTCATCTTATACATTTTCTAACAATTACACTTTGAAAGCCTTAGTGTCAGATATGCAGTTTGAATGAATGGCCCTTCAGTTTTCAGATACTTTTCAGTTTGCATCTCCACTGTGAACTAACTACTTGACATCATCCTGAGCAATATACAAATATACACATACTCACAATTTGATTACTTATTGGTCCCTTCCAACCCCTATGATTTTGTGATTCTTCTGAATGTGAGGATCCCATGACTTGCCATCTTTTTTTTCCCTGGAGCTTTGAGTCTTGTTATCTGGATTCTGAGGCAAACAGGGACAAAACAGTGGTTGGAGTTCCTCCAAGTTTGGGACTAGGGATGCATGAAAGTATACAGGATGGGGAATGTGGTCCCTGCTCGATGCTGGTGAAAACATGATGAACTCCTATATGAAGGGTTTGGTGTGTGCTTAAAATGAAACCCATGTGTACAAAATATCTAAGGTAGCTATACTGTCAAGTTAAGTTTTTTAGAGCCTCAGTGGATCTGCTAGTGCTGAAGGGTCCCTGAACAAATACGAAAGCACTGGGACAATGTAATGGAATACAAGGAAAAATGGTTTAAAAAAAGAAAAGTTTCGTTTGCAGTCAAAATTTTTTTTTTTTTGAATGCAGCAACTACAATAAAATACTTATTTATGAGAATATTACCTAATTTATAAAAACATGCACCATTCTGGTATATTTCTCTTGCAAAGACAGAAAACATGTTAGATTTTTTTCTAATATTCTGCAAGTTGTTTGTGACATAAAATATATGTTTTTTGGAATGTAGACTAAAAGCTGTGCGATGGAGAACATAGGGAAAACTTGGCTGTTTGCTGTCCCATGCAATTACCAGATGTTTGTCATGGTAACCCCTGAAAAGCTCTGAGCAGAAAAGAATTCTTAGGAGGCTGGTCAGCATGCCAGCTGGCCACATAATACTTTCAATGTCCAAAATAAGTTTGATCACCACCTGTTGCTACTTAAAAAAAAAAAAAAAAAAAAAAAAAAAACAAGGGGAAAAAAATCTTCCTTTTTCTACACAGATTAAGTGGCTTTTGAGTATGTGATGAAAAGTTCCTCACACTAAGGAACTGTTCAACTGCCTTTTTTCCCCTGGAAAAAATTTGGACAATTCCCACTGACCTGGGAAAGGGTTTACTGACTTCAAAAGGTCACTGACATCAGATGACATTTATTAAACTTTTTTTATATTGCAGGAGTGGAGTGTGGTGTATCTGCCTCTGACATACAGTCACAGGCTGAGAAGATACATCAGCTCATGACACGGTGTGATACAACACAGAGAACTGGGTCTGGCTAGCTAAGAACATCAGCAGGCGTTCGCAGATTGTCGAGGCTCCTGAAACAGCTTGGCAGAGAGGATGGCCAAACAGACCAGAAAATCTTGTTTGTGAGAGGAAAGTGACCTCAGACTAAGGTAAAACATAAAGTTGAAAGTCAATGGCTACTTCTGAGTAGCTCCCTGTCTTCTGAAATAGATGGGGTTGTTTGGGTTTGTTTCCTTTCAAAGTGAGGTTCATTACAAAAAAAAAAAAAAAAAAAAAGACAGGAGGAAAAAAAAAGCCTGAAATAAGAGAACTCCTAGAATAAGATAAATTACGCACATAGTATCTATTTATTCTAGGATTTTGTATCCAGTTTTTTCCATTGCTGTGATACCTGTAGCTATCTGAAATGAAGTTTCTACTGGATTGTGTAGAAAGTTTGACTGGAATCAGTTTTTTAAAATGCCTTTTTAGAGCAGGATTTTGATGGGGTGGGGAAGTAGCTATACTTGTAATAGAACGTACATCCTGATTAAAACGGAATAGTTGGACAGGAAAACAAGTAAGAAAATAGAATCCAGGATGTTACCTGTTACTGTGGCCATATTAGCACAAAGGAAAGTGGCACTGTCCTGTGAGTCAGACAGCGCTCAGATAGATTGCTGTGGTGTAGCAGAGAAAAGATCAGTGAAAACCTTGGAATCCTGTTAGTTCTTATGCACCCATGTATAGGTGGAAGAATAAATATTATTCTAAGTCTGTTTTGAAATGATACCTTGTGAGTATAAAAATAGAGCTCTGAACATGAGGCATACATATGTAAATGATAATTCTGAATGGTGTTGAAACTTGTATTAAAATATCTTTTAACATGGAAGCAACTCTAAATACTACTTTTTTCCTTTGTTTTGCGGTGACTACAAAGCTATCACAGTCCTTTACAACCGTGGGTTTTTTTAGATGGATATTAATCTTCATCTCATTTAAAAATTATGATTTTTAAATGGGACAAGTGTGCCCAGCTATCAAAAATTTACTTCACAACGCACCTTGCCGTATTGACATGAGAAATAGGAAATTAATTCCCTGTGTTAAATTTAAATGCATTCCTTTCTTTAGACTGTATTAACACAGATAGGTAAGAAGTTATCTACAGAGCTAGAATGTCATTTGGATATTGCCTTTCTTGTATTTACAAGATACAATAAATTGGTGCATGGAGTAGGAATGTAAATAGAGCAACACAGATTAAATATCCAGATTTAAGTATAAGAAAAGCAATAAATAATTATTTATGCTATGATTCCACATACTGGATATAAATTGCTTGAGGAAGTTTTCTAAAGCTTCACAGAGCAGTCTGGCTTTCACAATGCCTTCCCCTTAATGCAAGGGAATTTTTTTACGTGGCTGAGATGGCTGAATAGGGGTAGTTTAATGGTAGGCATCACAGCTCGTCATTTCTAAACACTGTTAAGGTTTCTATCTTTGTAAAATAAACAAGGCCACAACATGGTTTTAGGCATTGTCCTGGGGTAGTTTTGCATGTTAATTTTATTTGCAGTTTATTTGCATCTTTAATGTTTCTCAATTTTGTCAAATCCTACTGCAGAGTAATTTAAAATTTAATTTGTGGATTTCCTCAGTAAGTTTGTAGACTAAGAAATATGGATGAGACCTCAGCAGGATTTTGTGAAAATGGCAGTAAAAGAGCTAGTTTTTAGCTGTTGTTGATAAGACTGGAATTTCTCTGAAGGTGTGAACGTCGTTTTGAAGGGCACAGTAGCCACCGCTGTCCAAGTGGAATTGCAGTATCTCCTTGTGGACGGTTTATAGCCAGTGGATCAGATGACAAATGTGTAAGTAATGTTTTTTCTTATTTTCCTCATAAACTATAGGAGCTACTAGTATTACATACAAAGTAATATTTTTCTGCGCATTTCTAGGATTCAGCTTAATGTGCAAAACTGAGGTCTGTCATACTTTCATGTAATTTATTTATATGTAGCAATTACATATTATTCCTGATTTGTATGTTCTTCATTTTGTCTGAAAAATCCTTGAACAACCGAATCTTCGTGCTCAAAGTCATTCTGAAAGGCTTGTTTCTAAAAGTTTTCATAGTGCTTGACTCTGAATTGCCATGTGCCATCAAAGATGGGAATAGTATCTGCTGTAGCACAACTTTATGTAGTGTGTATGTATCTGAGCACTAGGAACTATGTAGCAGCTACACATTAAATTACTTAAGCTCCTCAATATAGGGTCATGAATCTTTCATTACTGGTTTCTTATGAACCAGTCAGCTGAACGCAAAATGAAAAGTCATTCAACAGTAATTAGAATTTTTCATAATTTATGATGTAACTTTGATTGTGTGTGTTTCCTCCCCGGACATGCTCTCTTCTCATTCAATGTCAACTATATTTAAATTATTACACTTAGCAAAGAATCCTGAGTGAAAGTGTATTACTACCTTTTTGAGTATGCACCTTATTTTAATTCAGAAGTCCTGTACTGTTGGCACAATGTTTTTCTTGGTGTTGGCTAAGAGACAGATAATTGCTAGCTTGCAGAATAGGCCTTTGAAGCTGGGCTGGGGTTGGGTGCACTGTAAACACATCATTTTCAAACAGCTGGGTAGGAAAGTTGTTGAACTTTCTTCTAGGTCTTTCTAGGTGACTCATCAGGACTATGACACAGGGTTTCTGGTCAACTTCAAATTCAGAGCAAGAGGAATTTACTTCTGTGGCTAGTTTTGAAATACTGGCTCCAATCATGTGTGAAGGTTAGAGATTTTATTGGCAGATTGTTGGAGGTTTGGCAATAGCTAATGTGCTCTTGACATTTCCACGATAAAATATATTTTTCAAGTTTCTGGTAATTTACATTTCAAAATGTAGTTTCCAATACAAAAGAAAGGCTTTTTGCTTTGTCTGTGAAACAAAATGCACCTAATACTGAGCTCAGCTCATGATGTATATGATATATTTAGTTGAGATTGATAATTAAGGTTGATTTTGGATAGCATAAAAAGAAGTGCAGTCACAAGACCTTTAGTGTTCTCTTTTGCATTAAGGTTATCAGTTAGAATTACTGCTGATACAAATAAAGAGAGGAATAGAGCATGACTTCGCCAAGAATTTGGAGTAGAGGCACATCATAGGAAGCTGAATAGCTGGAATGCATCTGCTCCAGTTGGCATGTGGTCCCTGGTGGGCACAGTGCCAGTCAATATGTTTTAGTCTGGCTCCTGGGTTGGAATTTTGCATAATTTGCATCGTATGTCTCTAGAGAACTTTCATTGTTCTTGTTGTTGTCCCCTCAGGAGAACTGAGTCAAGTTTCGGACTCTTGCTACAATTGCGCTGTAAGGACAAAATACAGTTTGGGGGGCATTTTTAGGAGGCTTCTTTTTGAAATGTTGAGACTGGATATACTTTTGTGTTTCCTCTTGACAAAGAAAATTGAACATGGCACTGAAAAGTCCATTCATATTGTTAAACTAATAACATCCTGACAGATGGACCAATGTGCAACTGGAACAGTTCTAAGAGTATCAAGAAGCACATAATTTTGCAGATTGTATTCTATGAGTGAATGTCCAATGGAATTCAAAAAGCTGCATTAAAATTCAGCAGTGTAAATGTGAAGTGTTTTCTTGAAATAGCACATTCTGGAAATAAGTTATGTAACTTTTCACTGACCTTCAACTGTATCTTCAATCAACTTGGAGTTTAATTTATCAAGTGTAATGCTTGCACCTTGTGGTTAACAGATATGATTGATTTTAAAGGAAAAAGAGGCAGAATTGGAATATACTGGAGAAACGTTAACCTTAAACTGCCTTTTATATTTCACAAGACCTGGAGTGTTTGACAGAGGAAGATGTTGGCTGCACAAACTAAAAATGAAATCAAAACCATAATCCCACATGGCATAGAATCAGAAACCCAAAATATGTTATTGTTAATAAAGAGGTGCAAATTCTGTCTTTTTGTCTACTTACAAAGTATGTGACCTATTTCATATGAGAACAGCTTGGTATAGCTTCTGTGTGGCTGAAGTAGCTACTTCTTTTTATCTGAACTGCTTTTGTGTGTATCATCATGAGGTTTCTTACATACTGTAAATCATGGGTTGAAAGTGTTTCCCTAGCTGATTACTCCAACTTCTTTAAGGGAACCTTTATCAAGACCTAAGTAGGACCTGACAGTCTGATAAAAGCAGGTACCCACAGTATCCTGCTTTTGAACTGTTATTGTCATTACCGTAATTCATTGTGATTAAAAAACATAGAAAGTTAAAATTTCTAATATTGCATCATTTCTTCACCTTAAATAGCCTGAGGTTACAAGAGACATGGGTTGACTTTTTGTTAATTGGATACACATAATATTTTCATTTCTAACCATTTTGCAAGCAGTTTGAGGCTTCTGACTATAAAACAATAGGATTAAGGATATCGGACAAATAATTTGGTGTAGATTTTCCTGGTCTCTGTACAAAAATGTTTACCTAAACATTTTTTTACCAAAGAAATCTTAGTCTAAACTGACAAAAGTATCTAGAGAGTGTGTAAAATGCTACTTTAAAAAATAGAAATAGCTAATCTTCTCCTCTGTTCCATTTAGTTCTATTTAGTTGTTTTACTTCATGTCTAATTAGGTTCTTAATTTCTGTCTCTGAAGACCTTAGGGCTCTCGGAATAAATTCCAAGTTTTCAGAAATGAAGTAGGGAAGGCAGAAATAAGGATTTGGCTCTTTAATTGTTTTCGGATTCATTCTTGCTAGCTCTCTTTGAACTGTAGACTTTAAGGGGCACATTTTGACCCTAGTGGAAAATGGAATTTGCTAACATAAGACTCTGAGTCCATGTCAAATCCCAAAGCCTGAGCTTGTGGTTCCCCCTGACTGACCCAAACATATTTTTCAGCATGACAGGTTGCAACATCAATACTGAAAATGCATGGGTAATGTATACAGTTGTCTTCCATTTTATTTATGTTTTTCATCAAAATACAGGATTTTACCAACATTGTCTTTGAAACACATTCTAAATCCAGGATTAAATTTATGCCTTTCAACTGTGAAGGCATCAAAACAATATAGAGTAGGAAGATTGTTTCTTCTTATCCAGAGAGCATCAAACACTGAAAGGAGTAAGAGAAGACAGGATATGGCAATTTGATGCTTATACATAACTAACCACGTGTTAATCCCATTTGTGCAAAATTGGTGTTAGAGTAATTTCCCATTATCCAAGAGAAGCTGGAAACCTACTGATCAAGGGGGCACAACCAAAAAATTCTGCAAACCTGTGACTGAAGGCTGGAAGTAAGCCTGGTCCTGATAATGCTTGCAGACTCAGTTGTTTTCAGACACAAGATTGTGCATTTGGCATAATGCAAACTGTAGAACTTGTTTACAGTTAACACCTTAGTTTTAAATTATTACAGTGGTTGATATTCCAAATAGAATGTCAGTCCTACTGAGCAATATACTGTAATATTTTTCTAACATATATTTATTTAGTTGTAAAATTCACTGTCTCAAAACACATATCTTTATGACTTTCCCTGTTAATTAGATGAATAATTTATTTGATAAGAACAAGAAAAATATGTATTACATAACAGTAGTCTTAGTTTTATTTTTATCTGTTCTCACATCAAGATGTGTAGCTTTAAAAACATTATTTATTATTTTATCACTCATGAATGCATTCAAAATACAATGCTACTATCTGTTAAACTTGTCATCTACTTGGCCACATATATTTTGGCTGTGAGAAGCCATAGTGAAAGGAGCTCTATAATTTGAAGTAGTTTAAATTGTTAAAGTAGTTCCCCCCATTTTCTCTCATGTAGAGTTTTGCAGTGCACTGATGAAGAGTGAGCATCTGCTTTTTAGTTTGGGTAAGGAGTAAGCATACCTCTTCTTGAAGCACTTCTCCAGGTCCTCCCCGTTGACTGTGCTTTGATTTGATCACAGAGGCGCTTTGGATCATGCAGATCAATTCATTTCATGTGAGGCTGAAGTGGAAGAGCAACTTCTTGAGCAAATTGAATGTTTTCTCTGTGGTAATAGCGTTCAGTTTACAGAATCAGGGATAAGATAGCCTGAAGTAAAGCACCAAGATGTACTGGGAGTTTGTGCTGTCAGCACTGTTTTGTTTTGTATGTCTTATGATTTATTTCTTGATTACTGTAAATACATCATTAGTCATATTAGTCTTTTTAGGGCTCAATCCTGATTTATAAAATGGAGATTAACAGTGGTATCTTTCTTCTGTCCTTTACTCTTTAAAAGAAGACTTCAGATGAGGCCTGTCTCGATTTGTTACCACTATAGTCAGTTACTTTGATCTTATTTATACGAAATACTTCCACTCTTGTGTGTCTGGTGTGATAAGCTTAAAAATTGCATCTGATTAGCTGCAAAATTGCATAAAATGTTCTAGATAGCAATGAGAAAACCACCCCAAGAACCACAAAATGTGAATGACAAAATTATGTGATTATCTATTCTCCCTTTGAGACCACAATTTCACTCAAACTTTTTAGTTGAATGAATGAAAAATGAAAACTACGGATGAGGGAAGCGGCAGGGGGTTGAGAAAGATATTCTGTTATGAATGTAAGTATATGGAGGAGATAGGACATGCTAAAAGTTCAGATTCTTTGGTAGTAAACTGATGTTTAAAATAGGTATTTTTGATACAATAGAGTGAGCTGTAGTGTTGACTTTAATACTGGCTTTTGAAACATAGGAGGATTTTTTTTACTGGAAAATTATTTTTAGAAATATCTGATAATGGTGTTGTTTAGTATTTATTGTCTTGGTCTACACTTTGTACC